GCATTGCATTGAAGACCCACCCACCACATTGGAGTGGTGCTCATGGGGCAGCTGGGTCTCCACAGGGTGAATGAGACATTACTATCAGCAGGGGGAAAAGAGCAGCTTTTTCTGCGTGTATCACTGAGACGTTCAACAAAGATTCCCTCTACGGCAGTATGTTTGTTGATATTTCCATGCCCTGCCCCAGCAGAACAATTTCAGAGTTACAGTGAAAGGATTTTAGTGGCTGCCTCCTACACCTTTCAAAGCTAAAGTCAGCAGTGTGACACAATGATACTATTTCCTCCCACCAAAAGGAAAATATAAAGAATTACACATCAACTTCCTTTATATATCGTGGCAGCCTACATTTAATCTCCTATTAAGTCTTGATAAGATACCAAAACTCGAGACCAATCGATACAAAAATACAATTTGCTTCCTTAGGTGTAAGGAAGGTATATTGTGTCAAAATTGCACAATATTTCTTCGTGCCAACGCACAATTGTCATTTTTAATATCCTACTACCACCTCTTCACATACTGTCTGTTGAAATTCTTAGTCATCCAGGTCATGGTTTTCCCAAAGGCGCTTTTTCAAAAGGCAATTGGACTTTGTTTTTCCTTGAAGTCATTTTGCTTCTTATCCAAGAAGCTTCTTCAGTGGTTGTTTTTTAATGTTAATGTTTAATTAGTTGAGTTGTACAGTGATTTTAAGTGATTATAATTTGTTTTTACAAAAATATTTTGGATTGGGAGCTGCCCAGAGTTGGTTGAAAGAAGAATGGCTATATCCATGTTTTAAATAAATAAACAGGCAAACAAAAGCAGCATGCTAGCTGGGGAATTCTGGGAGTTGACATTTACCTTTTTTAAAAAAATTTGATTTATATGCCGCCCTTCTCCGGAGACTCAGGGCGGCTTACAATGCGTTAAGCAATAGCCTTCATTCTTTTGTATATTTTATACAAAGTCAGCTTATTGCCCCCACAAACTGGGTCCTCATTTCACCTACCTTAGAAAGGATGGAAGGCTGAGTCAACCTTGAGCCTTGGAGAGATTTGAACCAGCAGAAATTGCAGGCAGCTGTGTTAATGACAGGGTGCACTAAACCCCTGTACTATCAAGGCTCTTAAAATGCTGTGGTTGACAAAACACACCAGTTACTCTGTTTCAGTCTAACCCAGTGATGGTGAACCTTTTGGGCTTGGTGTGTCAAAAATTCAGAAAATGCTTAACTTGTTTCTGCTAATGTGCCACACACCCCAACAAACAAAAGCAAAACAATTCTCTATTTTTCTCTCCCCCCCCCAACCCCCAGAGGTAAGGAGCTAGACCAACAGCAGCACTCAGTGGCAATGCTAAAGTTGGGTCTGAAATAGAGACCCAGGCCTCAACTTCAGCCTTAGTGCCACCACTGCCACTCAAAAAGGTCACCTTGCCCCATTCCCTGAAGAGCACAAGCCGTGGGGACCGGCAAAATTGCCCCCATGGCCCAGCCTCTCCAGGATCTGCCATACATTGCTTACCTCAGGCGGTGCTCTCTTCCTGTTGACTGCTTACCTAAGGCTGTTCAGGGTTGCATGAGGCCTTACTTTTTGAAGGAGTTTTGAAGAACGCTTTTCTGTGGGTTCTGCAGCCTCCAAAATCTCAGAATGGGCATGCTTTTGAGAATATATGTTGTCGTGTGTCACCCAAAATGTCATTTCTGCTTTGACATGCATATCATAGGTTCGCCATCACTGGTCTAACCCAATGTGCTTCAAACTCACTATGTTAACATGTGTGGACTTCAATTCCCAGAATTCTCTAGCCAGCAGGCTAGGTGGGGAACTCTGAGAGTTAAAAGTCCATACATCTTAACATTGCCAAGTTTTTAAAAAAGGTCTAACCTACCTCACAGGGTTAATATTATAAGAAAAAGTAGGAGGGAGTACCACATTTGCTGCCTTGGCTCCCTTGAAAAAGTTGATATATAAATCAATAGAATATTTACTGCTATACAACCATGCAGAATTGTCATGTGCAAATTATAAAACATTTTCAGATATGATGGTCTTTATTATTTTCAATAATAGCATTATTACAACTGTCCATGGGAAAACTTTATATATGCTGATCTGTTAAAACAATACCATCTCTTTGATACGTGGTGTGATATTGAATCAATAGAATTTATTTTATTCAAATATTAGCTTTTCATTTTTTTCCATAATAAGCTGGTAATAGATATAAAATAAGACTATTACTCCAATCAAGATCTTCACAACATTTTGGTGCATTATTTTCTGGAAGGACAAACTTATTTCAGAGACAGCATCTGACTTGATGGTCAAGTACATTTGCAAGTGTAATCTACTTTGTCTTTGCAGTAGGGCTAAGGAATTTTGGCCTTCCTGAGATTATCAGCCCAACTCCCAAAATTACTGACCATTGGGCTGTGCTGGATGAGACTAATGAAAACTAGAGCTCAATATCATTTTTGGAGCTATGAATGGTTCCACCTTCTTCTATATCAGGAATAGGCAAACAAATGGCCACCAGGTATTTTGGAATACAATTCTCCTACTCCCCTGACTAGTGGTTATACCAGTTTGGGTGTGGGACATAATTTCATCCAATTCACAGCAGGAAGTATATACCGATACCAATAAACATTTCTTATAAACAATTTATGGAGGAAAAAAACATTTTATTAGTGAAATAAATCATATAATCCACTTGCATAGTTTTGCCTAAAAATGAATCTTAAGTGGGCAGCTTTCTCCTGATCTCCAGAATAAGGTTGGTATTTTCCCTAAAACAATGCTACTTTTCAATAATAAAACTAAGCTGCTTATTCTACCAAGGCCTGTTTTATTTACTAGTACTTCTATAACCCCGATAATAATGGGTGGAGTGCCAAAAATAAACCATTAATAAATCAGAAATTTGAACTCAGGTTAGAAACCAACCAGAATTTAACTATGCAGTGTTCGTTTAGTGCTTGTGGGTTGTGTCACACATGATGCTACCACCAAACTAATCATATGTCATCATCAAGATTGGGCATTTACACTTTAATTAAGAGTAGCAAGCCTGATGATTACCAATTACAATTTAATAGAAGAAACCTGAGCTACATCCAAGCTATTTAAGCATGATACTAATCTTACATATGGCTTTTTAATCTGCAGAAGCCATTCTGAGCAATTGTCCACCTCAGCGAGAGCCCAAGTTGTCAGCTGGACAATTGACAAACTCCACTTCTTTACAGCCCCTAAAAATGCAGGGAAGTCAAAGAATGATGAGGAGAAAGGAGATATTTCAATACCTCTAATGCAGGGATGTCAAACTTGCGTTGTCACGGTGGCGTCACGTATCAGGACTTTTTCCCCCTTTGCTAAACCGGATGTGGTCAGCACATGACGCATCCGGCCTGTGGGCCGCGAGTTTGACCTCTTTTAGCATTGTTACTGTATTTTGAGAATTTGCACAGGCAGACAAGTACATATATGATACCCTTCTGGGTACTGGTTCACTGGATACTCAGTGAAATCAAGATCATTATGGGAACTTTATAGCTCCTTTGGGTGAATTGAGACTAGAGCATTCAGAATTCCTACTAGTATGAGAGAAGGCAATTTGTTATATGTTATTTTACAGAGGCTCACTTACCTGGAAAGAATGATTGTTAGTCATTTATTTAGGTCAAGATGTGAAAGGTTTACATTCCAGCAGTCTGACAATCTTCATTTCATTGCCTTGCTTTGAAAACCCACCCCGTTAATTATACTGACAGCATTTCAATCAGACGGAAGATTTAAGAAGAAAAAAGACCTGGCTTTTCCGGCAGGCTGGGGCTGTTGATCTCGCTGTTGCGATCTGGCGAGATCCGGCCATGAATGGTGTGAATGGGTTTTAATTGTTTTTAATGTTTTAAATTTTTAATGTTTTTATATATGGTTTTTAAATGCATTGTAAGCCGCCTTGAGTCTTCGGAGAAAGGCGGCATACAAGTTGAACAAAAAAACAAACAAATAAATAAATAAAATGAGGAGTGAGATGTGAAGTGCATCAAGCTAGAGGGGGTTTGAAGGTGTTGGCGAGGGGAGGGGGTAACATAGAAGTTGGGTGAAATTGGGGTCTCCTTCTGGACTGTTGGCTCCTGCTCAAAAAGACATGGCCAGGAAGGCCTTTGCATAAAGTCATCCCTTCCAAATAAAATGAAAAAAAATCTCTGATACATCAAATTGCAGCTCATATTCCCTGTTTAATTGTAACATTTGGTTTACAGATAGTCCTCGACTTACAACCATTTGTTTAGTGACTGTTCGAAATTACAAAGGCACTGGAAAAAAATGTTTTTCACACAACTGTTACAGCATCTCCACGTGATCAACATTTGGAGGCTTTGGCAACTGGCATGTATTTATGATGGTTGCAGTGTCTGGGGATCATGTGATCGCCTTTTGCAAACTCCTAACAAGCAAAGTCAACAGGCAAGCCGGATATATTTAACAATCATGTTATTAACTTAACAACTGCAGTGATTCACTTAACAATTGTAGTGAGAAAGGTCATAAAACGAGGCAAAAAAACATGTAAACTCTTGCTTAGTAATAGAAATTTTGGGCTCAATTGTGGTCATAAATCAAGGACTATCTGTATTTGCATGGGCATATACTGTATGCCTTTACCTGGGGGTCATCATAATATTATTTTGTTTAATCCCAAAATTTGTTGGCTTTGACACACTTCAACTCCAAAGAAAAGAAGGCATATTTTAAAAAAATAACTGTAATAAAAGGATTAACAACTTCCTTTGATACATGTGAGTGTGAGCCCAGTCAAAAATTTCTCCCAAAATGTATGTTTTGGAAAAGCAGCTAATAGCCATTGTTAACGTATTATTATTTAAAGCTGCCATAATTTGCAAAACCTTAGCATCACCTCCTGTATTCCTAAAATGGCCTCCTCAATTCAACAAATCAGACTGACAACCACATTATTAATCAAAACAATCTAAGAAATCCAGACAAGGTATTCAGATTGTTTATTATCAAGAGTATGACAAACACTCCGCCATACTGTGTCAACATGCACCCGGATTCTAAATCAACTTTTTAAAACAGCACTTGCAAAAATTACAGTTATTTAGTCATTATTTATGATTACATACATTTTGTTAATGAGCACTAGAACTGATTAACAGTATAACTAAGTAATCTGTTATTGCTTGTCGACACTGCAGCTTTGGATCTACTAGAGAGAATCCACTGAATGCCTGAGTTATCAAACTGCATTGTTTTATCAAATGCAAACTATAAAATGCTGGAGAACACTTAAATACCTACTAGTGAATATGATCTATTCCTACTACAAGGGCATGCCAAGTTCATTATCTTCTAAAGTAGCCCTAATCTCGCCATTGCTATGTTATCATACCTTTGGCTAGAACCCAGTCCATGTGGCTTTCCAGATATAACTAAACTATAATTCTCAGGAACGTACTGTGTTCAGCAGGGTCAAAGATGAGGGATAAAAGAAACAGAGTTTAGTAATGCTTTGAAGGGGCCATATTCTTCCATTCTATAATTGAGTAAAAATCCAATAAATGAATATAGATCGAGTGACAAGAGGCTGCTTTCAAGTATCCTTCAATTGATAGCCTCCTGCAAACTTAAATATGATTTTTAAAGGGGGACTTTGATTAGGCAGAAATGATGGCTGCTGAGAGAAAACCTAGCCAACTTTTGTATGTCCGCTGACCCTCCCTTTGCATTTATGGATCAATCTCTCATGCATTCCTGTCCAGGATTCCAGATTGAGTACTTCCAAATATAAGATTCAGTCTGAAAAATTGGCATGCACTCTGCCAATGTTACGTCAGAAAAAGATGTTTTGTCCATGTTGTAACTTTAGCCCTAATATTTAGTGTTGTAATAATGATCATCCCCTATATTTTACTTGGATACAACCCATGTTTTACTTGTGACATAAATGAATTTCTATGCTTTTTTTCCTGCTTGTAACATCTGGTATAAAGAGAGTAACATGTATGACTATGGAAGTAATAACTACAGTGTTTTAAAATACTTGAGATACATTAGGAACTACACTGTATTCCAAAAACTTATTATCATTGAAGGAGTAACTGACAGCTCTTGGCCTCTCTACAAGCTTAAATATCCACTTTAAATTTATAGTACAGGCAGTTCTTGATTTAACAACTGTGGCAAGAAAGGTCATAAACTGGGCCAAAACTCACTTAATAACTATCTTGCTTAGCAATGAAAATTTTGGGCCCAATTGTGGTCATAAGTTGAAGACTATCTGTATGAACTTCTACCTTTAAAAAAACCTCATACAATACATATAATTTTTAACTAATTTGACAAATAGATAGAGCATTAGTAATGGGATATTGGGCAACGACAAAGACAACTTTGTTAGGCAGATGTAGAAACTAGAGGTGAAAGTGATTACAAGTAATCCTTGACTTACGACAACAATTGGGACCAGAATATTGGTCACTAAGTGATGCGGTTGTAAAGTGAGAATCCTGGCAATTATCATCTTTCCAAGCCATTCTATGCTTGGTTCCTTCCAGCCCTGGGTCTCAGTAAGATAAGACTGTCTCTGACACACACACACCCCAATCTCTTCCATTTTAGCCACCTGCACCCTGTCATCACCATAAATTTTATTGATTTGATCTTTATCCCATCTTTATTGTTTTTAATTTTAGTGAAATAGTAATCACATTTTAAAAATACTGCTCACTGATGTTTGAAATGTAGCTCCTGCCATGATGCTTGAAGACCAAGTGTGGTCTTTGGCCTGGAAAAAATGGTACACCCATAGTCTAAAAAGGATCCAGGTTTTCTAGAATCCTGGCTTAGAACCTTAATAAAACTTGGAACTAAAACATCTTTTTGACATTGACCTGGGATATGATGAGTCGGAAGAGTCTTCCTTGCAGAGAGTGAAGGCTTCTGGTAGAATTTACAAGGGTGTGAGAGAGATGTCGCTGTATTTCCTAATGTAGATGGCTGATGGTCTTCCTGAGTGGGTGTTATTGAGTGGTGAATATCTGAACTACATCAAATATTTTTGATCTGCCCAGCAACCCCAGAACTGCACAACTCCTGGGCTGTATGCTACACTCGAGGCAGCTGCAGCCATCCCCATTAAGTGCCAGTTGCTCTCCCCACCCTGCATTCCAAGACTCCTTACACCCTCTGGGCCTTGCCACTTCAGCTGACCTTCGCCACCCCGCTTCTGGACTGGGTGCAGCTAACTTTCTGCAGCCAAAAAGGGCAGGAAAAAACGCAAAGTGGCCCTTTCCTTTTCATCATGCTCTTGGGCTGTACGGGGCTGGCTTTGCAACTTTAAAAGTAGGGGGATCCCAAAGCAGCCTCACCCCTCACCCCTCTTTTTTCAGTTCAAAGCCAGCATCAGCCCTGCCTGGGAGCTCTTTGCAAAGGGACACTGGTCCTCTGCTGCCCTTTGTGCAATTTTTTTCTTTTCTGCTACAAGCAACCAGCTCCATACAGCCCTGGATCCAGGCTGGGCACATTCACAGCGGGAGAAGATGGCAGTGAAGGCCAGCTAGGGTGGTGAAGCACAGAGCAGCAGGGTGCCAAAAGGCACTAGATGGGGGAGGTAGATAGATGGGGGGAGTTGGAGTGCCCCAGGGGTCATAAGTGCGGACAAACTGCCAAGCAGCCAATTTTTAAATTAGTTTATAATATATAATACAAAAATACAAAAGAAAATAGTAAGAAAATAAGGGAGGGAGAAGGGAAGGGAAAAGTGTAGGGAAAAGGGAAAAAAGAAAGAAAAGACATTGGTGCAGTAGACTAAGATAATAGCATCAGACCTCAACTTTTTACTTTAGTGTAAACTAGCCATTTCTATATCAACAAACCTATTTAATTGGTACAACCCAAAATCAAAGTTTCATTTTTTTTCTACCTCAAGCACGAAGTCCAATAGGAACAAAAATAATTGTGTTTTTTTTTAATCAAAGCAGTCAATTTAGCCATTGCAGCAAAATTTTGATCATGTGACTGCAGGCGCACCGCAACGGCTTTAAATTTAGGCACAGGTTGTAAGTCCCTTAGTAATTTCTAATGGTTGCTGAAGAAATGGCTGTAAGTCGAATACTACCTGTATCAGATAGATAAATCCATGAACAAATATTTGTGTCTGTTTTTGCAGACAAAGGTCTATATTTCTATAAAGTAGCATAGAGATTTGATTGGTTTGCTTTCTCCCTCCAAATTCCAAGTAGCATTTTCTTATTATTAAGAAATGGGACAAGATAAATGAAAATAGATACAAAGAACATTATTCAAACTCAAATTATAGCATCTTTCCTCCCATCTGAAAAAATAATCAGCAGATGAGAATCACCAAAAACAGACCCAATTATAGGTGTTCTCTTTTCATTCAATATAGAACTGAATAGGGCAGTAAATTGGCCATCCTTGTCTTAAAATGTGACTATAACTAGCCCCAGTAACAAGAAAGTTGTGCAAATTTGTACTGTCATTCTATGACAGCCTCCTACCATCTAGCAATCTCCAGATGTGATAGGATTACGATTGTCAGAATTTTCACTAAGTATTACCAAACTGCCTGGGACTTCTAAGAGTAATCCTGCAATGTAAACACACCCAAAGATACTAAATTGGGAAGAAAACTATATAAAAAGAGAAATCTTTATATGGATTTTGCCATATATGTTGTTGCATGTTTTTCATGGTTTGTGAATAAAAATAATTTGATACAATTATATTAAGCATTATTTACTGGATTCTTCTACAGATTTAATGGGGGTTCCACAAGATGACATGCATCTTGAAGGCTATAGCTGTGTAGATACCCTTGTTCTAATAAGTAGCAAACAGAATTGTGTTCGCATTCACATTCCAAATGACCTCTTGCTAATAGACTTCAGAGCACTGAAAAACCATCTATGTAGCTTCAACAAACTGCCATTTGTTACAGTGGGAAGGGAGCATCTGACAGATGCCATCGGATCAGTTTATAGTTTGTTTTGATATTAAGTGACAATGCTCCTATCTTGTACCAATAAAGAAGGATCTTGTAAACTGCTCTATATATTGTTTCTTACGGAAGATGTAATGTACATTTTACAATAAACAAGTAATCAGTGGAATTAATCATAACGAAAGCATGTAAGTGGTGTAACCCTAATAATACACACATTATAGTCTCATCTTTTAAAGCCTTTAATATTTGAGTGTAAGATCCTCATGTCTAACCACTTAACACTAAAACAGGGGAATGAACTTGGAAACTTAGCACGAACTGCAATAACATACTGCCACTGGAAATACAAATGCCATTTCACTCTCCAGCCCCAGCCTCAAATTAGCATCTGGTCTTTCTCCATGTGCTTTTGGTGGCATAACCATTCAAAAGCTTGATTAATATTTTTTTAGTTTGACAATTAAAATATTAACTCCATTTATACTTGTTTCTGGTTTATTTTGCACAATTGTCTCCCCTTCCTTCCTCAAAATCAATTGGCAAATGGTTGCTACTCTGAATCATAAATAACAAATCACACCATGCTATTATAAGTAGTCTCTGACATATTACGGTTGTTTGTTGTGCCAGTCGTAAAACAGGCCACAAGCCCAATTTTACCTTTTTATGGCAGTAGTTAAGAGAGGGCTATGGTCATTAAGCAAACCATGGTTTGCTATGGGCAATTTGACTACAAACTATTGTAAAACACAGTCACATGACCATGGGATGCTGCAAATGCAGCATGTTGCCCAACACCTGTAGTTCAGTCACATGACTGCAAAGGGAGTCTGACTGTGAGAACTTCAAATTTGGGTTGTAAGTTCTCTTTCTCGGGACAGCTGTAACTGAACGGTCACTAAGCAGCAGGTGGGAAGTCAAAGATGCCTGAAGTGTGACATAAAAGTGATGCAGGCTAAGAATTTAGGCTGCATTTAAAATACTGAGATCTTTTGAGCAGATGAATGATTGGGGGAAGTTCAGCTTCTGCATCATTAGACTGATAGTTACTGCTGACATGCATGAACTCTGTAATTGTGTATTAGTTCCCACTTTCTATTCCTAGAAAGAGTTCTGTGTGGCAGGAGAATTTGCAACAAGTCTTAATGGAGAAAGGTGCAGACTGAGTGTAAGGCTGATTGTGCTAGATGATCACATTTGATGTTCACACAGTGTGCAGGGGATCTAGGCAAATGTAAAATTGTGAGTTTCTGATAAAGGAGGAGTGTTTGCCTACAACTTAAATAACTACCAAGAATTATTGATGGCCTTTTAAGAAGATACAGTACACCCAAATCTCATTAGATTTGTCCTAAAACAGTACATGACAACTGGAAGGAAAAAAATTGCCATAGTAATTTTATTTATAAGTCAAAGAAACATTATCAGTGCAACCCTAAGAAAACGTAAAGTTTATAAACATAAACTAACACTCTTGGCAAGAAAAACATGGCTACCCAAGTGTTTCCAGCATTTTACTAGTCTGTATATAAAATCTTCTCAAACAGATATAAAGATTAAAACTATTTTGACTTTTCTAATAACTCTTCAAAGATATTTGTTATTTTTTTTCCTCCCCTTTTCCACTGATTTTTACATAGAATCTAAATGGCTGCTTCCAAGAATCTATTTTTTTAAAAAAATGGTATCACTCCATGCTTCCCTTAAAAACATCAATATGGCCTTTTAATAATATTTTCTTTCTTGTCCAGTAAAATATGCTTCCAAAACAGTTGATCTTTTAAAAAAAGCAATGATTTGCAAGTGAAGATCAGACTGGTATGGAAACTTCTTCACAATCCATGCAAACTAAACTTTTAAAGGGTCACATTATTGTAAAATATACCATTTACCTACACATATCTTCATATATACCACTTAATTTTAGTTTCTGGTAGTGGCTCTATGACAAACATATAACACATAACTAGAGCATACTTGCTTAACTTGCTGTATCCCTATTGCAGCATTGATGCTGGATGAACCTAGAAGGAATCAGGAATCCTGGATCACTTATCCTAAAGGATAAGATTTTTGTCCATTATGAAAAGCCACTGAAGGCATATTAATCCTCTTCCAGTTCTTCATCCAGCAAGATTCTTCACAGTTTTGCGGCCATGAAATTGATATGAGGTTTCACCAGAGGGAAAAGTGGTAGGCTGCGTTTGAACTCAGTCATGTTTTCAATCACAATCGGCTGTAAACAAAGCATTTTACAAAGATAGCCATTGAGAACCAAGCATGCTCCTTGTGATATGCTGCACAAGACAGGCAGAATCATTGAAAGCTGAAAAAGGCACAGGTTTTAACTGCAAAACTGTCATTAAAAAACAAACCCAGAAATCAGACTTGGACCCAATTCTTCTTAAATAGGATTGTGTATTCTATTGTATAAAAGTTCAATGCAACAATAAGGTGAAAGCTGCAGACAAAAACACTCTATGTGCCAATGTGAGTGAAATTAAGCTCTATGTAAAATGTGCAATATTACTATCAAAAGATGGATTTGAGTCAACCAGGAAATCAGCTCAGGAAAAATTGCTGACAGCTTAGAATGGCCAACTAAGAAGCTGACTATCAGCATTTGAATGAATTAACAAGCAAATGCTAAAAAAGGGATTTTAGACAAGCTGAAATCTGAACAAGTGCTCAATTAAGGCAAACATGCCTTAATGATAAATGATAAATTATCTATTGCATTAAACTAACTGTACTGTCATACACTTAGTTACCTAATCAGTATAAATATGTGGATTGATTGTGCTTGTTTTTTGTTGTTTCTACATTTGGATGACCCGATTAACTTTTTGTCAAGATTATCTGGTAGGAACTGCTTCTTGTGCTTTTTGTAAGTTTATGCTTCTGTTGTTTAGTGATATCATCTAATCAACTTATTTTCTATCATCCTCTTTTTTGATTATTTCCATTTTTCAATGGTTCTCTCCAATGATTCTTGCCTGCCCGAGTGAAGTGGTCACTTCATCTGATACTGAATACTGAGTCTTTCGGGGCCTCAAAATTCTAACTGCTTCTCTTGGTCATCATAAATATTCTTTCGTAGGCACTTGGCATGGTGCACTTTTCTAAGGTCTATTCACAATTTGTAATGGTCTATGTAATCAAAAGCCTATAAATCCATGATGGCGAACCTGTGGCACGCAGAGCCATATCTGTGGGCACGCGAGCATTGCCCTAGCTCAGCTCCAGCGCAAATGCGTGTGGCAGCCAGCTAATTTTCTGGCCTTCCGGGCCCACCGGAAGTTGGGAAATGGGCTGTTTCCAGCCTCTGGAGAGCCTCCGGGGGGCTGGGGAAGGCCGTTTTCATCCTCCCCAGGCTCCAAGAAAGCCTCTGGAGCCTGAGGAGGGCAAAAAACAGGCCTACTGGGCCCACCGTGCTATCGCGTGCCAAAAGCGGGGGCGGTTACGCGCGCAGGCACGGGGCGCATTGAATTATGGGTGTGGGCACCCCCGCACTCCCCCTGCTTTTGGCACACGATGGCAAAAAGGTTAGCCATCACTGCTCTATATAATCCATTAAGCAAAACTGGGTGTTCTTTTGGAATTCTCTTGCCTTTTCCAGAATCCACTGGGGATAAATATGATCTTGGGTGCCTTGTTTTCTTTGAACCCAAGTATACATCTCATAATTCCTGTTTCATACATTGTTGAAATCTGGATTGCAAAATCTTAATCATTAACTTATTAGCATGTCAGATAAATGTAACTGTTTAATAATTCAAACATTATTTAGAACTGTACAAACCAGATGGCATTTTGAGCATTTCTCTTTTAGAAATAGTTATGAAAGTATCCTTTTTTTTTTTTACCTGTGGCAGTGGTGGTGCTGGTGTTAGACTTATATCATTTTGGCTTGGAAACTCTCCTACAACAGGACCTATTTAATAATAATAATAATAATAAATATTTTAAAGACTAATAAAGAACTCTATGACATATATTAAAAAGATAAAAGATATGCATTGCTTCCGTGTACTTAGAAATCCTTGCTTCCTTGTACTTGGAAATTTGCAGATTTTTATCAAAATAACAGTCACAAAGGATTGTTGCCTGCTTAAACTCATATGCAAGGCAATGTGTAATATAGCAGAATATCTTTCAAAAGGAGACAAACACAAGTCTTTCACTATTAAACTTGTTGGTAACAGGATACTGTTGACAAAACGGTACATAGATATTCCCTCAGCTGTTTCTAGTTCTGAATTGTGACCAGATTGTGGCAGAATTTAAGGAAAGGATTTTGTAATCAAATTCCAAACTGAATTTCTAGTTAGAGCTGGAAACTTCAAGAAAACTGTTTTCTGCCAGCAACTCACAGTTCAGAGATATGCTAGGGCATTCACCCTAATGTAATTTCACCATGAGCACTTTACAACAGTACTGTTGAATCACTATTTCCTATTCTGACTTCTACAGAAAGTCTTGCATCAGCACTCTACAGCATTCACTGATTACAACAGCTACAACAGATCACAGCTGATCTAATTTGGGCAGTACCAATTCTACAAAATATGGTTACTACTTTCATCTGATAATTATTTCCATGTACATAAATGGATTGTAAATGGTGTATTTCAATGCAATTGGTTCCTTCACTATCACATTTATAATTTAAGTGTCATTCATGTAAGTCAATGAATATATTTCTATTCATCCATTAAAGGTCACATGACAGCATGTTTGCTCTACAGTACAACAATCTTTAGGGGCCAACTTGAATAGAGGTCATTTGTGAGAAGGTATATGCATTTGGTACTTACAGGAATTCATTTCCCTTGCTAGTACATGGACCGATATTTTGTGTCTTCTTTGGGCACCTACTGCCAACAATTCCTAAGAATAAATAAATTAGGGTTAATTATTCCTGTAAAAACCAAGAAAAAAATCCATCTTTGCAATGGTAAGAAATCATGCAAATGAGCTAAACAAACTACACCCTGAAGCAAAGGGTTTTCGAGAAATATTAATGCTAAATCAAATAAAATCAAATTTATCTAACTATGGTAAATGACCAACCAGGTAAAAAAGAAAAAGGAAACAATGACTAAATATAATTAAAGCAGTATAATAGTAATATAAAACATTAAAAAAATAGACTTAAAACCAGAGAATGAATAAAATAATAATGTGTAAAACGTAATATAAAACAATGGGATAAAATAAAAATACAATAACATAACAGAGTAAAGATGGTTCATTATATCATTGCTCCAAAATTAGGACATATTATGTCTTCCTATAGAAATTCCTGCAGAAATAAATTTAGCAATTCTACTGCTAATGGTGGGGTTCCTGTCTGTGAGTAGGACCCAGACAGCCTCTCCCTCACTGAAAAATCCTAGGCTTTTGTCAAAGAATGGCAAAGATATTTCTGCATGTATACTGATGTTAAAAAAAGATGACAGAAAAGTACATGTGAAGGGATCTCAGGTTCATTCTGATCTCAAGGACAGCATCTCTTGGTGAATGGAGTCCTATGGTACTTTTCCTCAAGTCCTGCCAAGTGAGGTGAGATAAGAAATGGCTCTACAAATGAGTGAACTTGTCAAATAAGGTTAAGTAAATAGTTTGCCAGTATAACATTAGGATGCAGTATGAGAATACAGTCAACCAAATTAGATGTAATAGATTTGGTCACGTTACTGCAGACATCATGAACTGAAACAGGTTGCATTGTAGGCCCTATCTATTATCAAGGCCAGTTCAATGGGAGCTGCTTTAACCAAAAAGAATTTTGAACCTCCGAAACAGAGTGACAGGTACTCAGCAGCAATACAGTGATGGGAAAGCAATTATTTTCCTCACAGGAAAAGTCTGCAGGCCATAATGGAATTCTATAAGGAGGAAGAACTTACAATGAATGGGTCTTAAAGCCAAAATTCTGGTTTTCTTGGGAAGGCCTAGTTACTCAAACACCAATGGCTAATTTAGAGCCATAAAATTCAACATGTTTTTATCTTTCAAACTGGCATAAGATTGAGCGGGAACAAATTAGTAGCATTTCTAAAAAGCCAATAGCAGGGCCCAGGCAAGCTTTGGCTTTTTTTTTTCCCACTCCAAAAGGGGTAGATGCATACTTGCCACCATTAAGTTCTTTAAGGCCAAAAACAAATGCTGCAGGGTGAATAGATTGTATGCACTACAATTTAAAGCCCTTAGACACTGTACAGATTAGGTTCTTACACGCACTGTTCCACAACTCGTGCTGTGTTTAAAATACTTTAAATCTTCACGGACTGATGATGATTCCACTGGAGTCTGTGTTTGCAGACTCTCTTAATGTCTTAAACTCCTGTTTTCTATCAGTTCACTGATTCCATTAATTCCCCTTCATAGGTTTTCATCAAAGTGGAAAGAAAAAAAACTTAGCTGACCTCCATAATGGTATTTTTCCCCACCTACCTCTTTGCTGGCCCTAGGTTTAGAAGAGCTAAAGCTGAAATCTACCAAGGAGCCTTTAATATTGCATGACGAGTGATCTGGGTGCTACCATGAATACTAACAGGAAGAGGTAGCTATGTACAAGGCACAAGATCCTCACTGCATCTGATTTCGCTGTACGAGTTATATTATTTAACCTCATGATGTAGCTTTATTTTTCCTAAGGCCAATCCTTCCTACTTTCTTCAGTACAGCTCCTCTACTAGGAAGATGTTCAGATTCAACACACATTACATGAATACATGAAATTCAGAACAAAGTTAGTAAATGACCTACAAGACAAAATATTATAAGAACTAATAATTCTTCTCATCTTACTTCCAAAAACATGTACCAATGCTTAGAAGTACTAAATACATGGTAAAAAATAAATCTAGCTTGCATCTCATCAAAAGCCTCATTAAGTGTTTTAGCTGGGAAAGGAGTAAATCAGAATTATTCACAACTGTAAATAGACAATCTAACTAAACACACATTTTAATTATTTTTTTAATTCTCTGGCAATTAAAAGTCTACTATAAATAATAGTAGTTGGCATCTTCACATTTTGTTATCACTACTTCAAATAAAATGAGCATTCATAATTTAAAGCAATTATTGCAAGGTTTCTCTATTCCTAAGGCTAGAAAGAAAAATTCATTACAAGCTCCTGTTAACTGCAATCCCCCTAAATTACATAGCCAGAACTTCAGTAATACAACTGAATAACAATGGTCTATAAAAACAAGGCACACATTATCTTGATTCTGTTTAGAACATTAACCTACAATTAATTATTACACTGATAACTATTTTTATTTTCACAGGATAGATGCTATAGCACCTCTGCAAATCACAAAAATGAACACGCAAAATAAAAATAATGTCACCTTCAGATCAAAATATTCTGTCAAGTCTTTGTTTAGAAAATGCATTCTGAATATACCAACACATTGTCATCCAATATTGATTTCTTTGCTGAATAGTTAACCTTTTACTAGAATCTGCATAGCTTGCTAAAGCTCTTGAAAGAAGCAGTATAATAAAGCATTTATTAAGAACCTTATCTATTAACATCTAAATGGCAATTATTAGATAATTAAAAATGTGGAATTAATTGTTTGGTATTCGATGTTTCCTATATATCTATTTACAAGCCATTGTATGTTTCCTTTATATAATGATGATAATCAATGAAATAACTGTTAATATGCTATGTTATGTGGAGTATATAGAAGAATTTGCATGCCAATATTTAATATTTCATCCATATGATCTTAAATTACCACAATCTTTATAAAACTGTCAAGTACATTATAACTTAGTATTACAAATATGTCTTTTAATAATAATTTAACCAGAACCTGGATCAACTTACCTTATAAAACTGCACTATATTATCCTTAGTAAGGGTTTTGAGATATGCCACTTCAATGTTATCTGGACAACAAAATTAATAAATTTAGTATGCAAAAAATACGCAAGTTTGATGAGTGCAATACATATCCATGGCTAACAAATCTTTTAAAATAATCCAATTTGGCTCCTATTGCCATAACTGCTGGCAGAGAATGTAATGTTTTAAATGGATAACCTTGCATTTTAACACTTCAGTCTAGATGATGTTACCTAATTTGGCAATAAAACATTTGCAAGAAAATCACTAAATTCAGACAGCACCAAGGACCCCAAAGTTAAGCCCTGTTATACAAGTATTCCATCGGTAATACTTTATCCATATTATCTATGTGCTGCATGATTTTATAAACCTCAATCCTGTCACTCTTTATCCTTCATTCCATCCTAAACAACCCCAATTGCAGTATGGAAGCTGTAGGCCACTAAGTATTTACAATCCTCTCTTGCATAATTTCTGTAATAATTCAGAATTGTACAAAATGTTCAAAGCGTAAAATAGCAATAGCACTTAGACTTATATACCACTTTACAGTGCTTTACAGCGCTCTCTAAGCAGTTTACAGAGTCAGCATATTGCCCCAACAATCTGGGTCCTCATTTTGTCCACCTCGGAAGGATGGAAGGATGAGTCAACCTTGAGCCGGTGAGAATTGAACTGCTGAACTGCAGCCAGCAGAAGTAGCTTGCAGTACTGCATTCTAACCACTGCATCACCACGGCTCATATTCCAGTATTGAGACTGTCACTAATTTTAAAATTATAATAGGAATTATCATGGAAGGTGGGATTTCAGTTGATCTCTAATATTTTTGTTTCCAATTGGCTCATGGTAAGCTTAGTTTTTTATTCTTACCTCTATCAAAGTTATATTGCTGGGAAATGATTTCATCCCAATATTTTGCACACTCGGCAGATAGTTTCTTTGGTTTGTCAAGGCGGCGAATTGCTAAAGCCTGGATATGTTTCTGGAACGCTTCTTCGGACATATCTTCTATAGATTTCTCCATGGTTTTTAAAAAGGCTTCCACCCTGCTTTCTAAGTAGTGTGGGGGCTTTTCTGATTGGATGATGAACCGCAGACCTTGGACACCATTAGCCCTCCGTGGACCACTGAACACAATGTAACCTGGGGGGGGGGGGAGTCAGCATATCAGCAATTGTAATCTCTTGCAGTTGTAATCTCTTACCATTTTTTTGTCAAGAAAATAAGGCTTCAATTTCTTTTCTTGCATCCTGACCTTTAATTAAAATTTTAATTTAACATTGAATTTTAGCATAACTTTTTAAAATAGTTATTAAAATCAAACTGTTAACTGGACTTCTGGTGAGATGGCGACACGGGAGATTGCACTTATGTGAGCTCCAACTGATAATTTTAAATTTTATTCTATAAATATTAGTAGGAATTGGGGTTTTTTAATGAAGCACACAGCATCATTATCAACTGTGGCTTGACTGTGACAAGCTAAATTTACTGTTGAATTTGGAGGCAAAACAATATGGTACTTCTAGATTGTTTTCCAGAACAACCATTGATAATAGAAGGATCTTCTGATTTATAATTTATGTTAAAAAAATAAAATGTTGTGGAGGAGGAAGGAGTATTTTGTAAGTTTGTTGCTTTGACAAAGTAATAAAGGCAGGATTTAAAAAAAACTTTAATAATAAAATATTTCCACAAACACCTTTTTCTAATTCAACTTTCTGTTTCATACTAGAGTTTAATTTTTTGAGAAAGACCCAACCTCCATACCCTTCACAACCCATCCTACGTTGCCAGGTAAGATTTCCCACTGGATACAACCAGTATTTGTGTTATTTCAAGCAATTAATGTTTGATATTACGTTAAAGATTCTTTATTAACAAAGAGGAGAGCCACTGCACTACAAGGAGAATTTTGATCACTGAGCAAAGCATTTGTTAAGCAAGACACGCATGGGACTGCTTCACTCAACCACTGTAATCCCAGCACTCCTGGTTGTGGCCATTAAGTGATCACCTCAGTCATTAAGCAAACAGGGCAAAAGAGCTACCTGCTGAGTTCAGCTCCCTACCATGTGTGGAAGTAAACTGCTCTGGCAGGCTGTAGGAACAGAGCTTAGAACTGCAGGATCTGAGCTCCGTTTTTCCACCCTACTGAAAATGTTCATCTCCCCTCCATGTGTAGCCTCTTTTGGAGTTATATACTGTAATATTCTTCAATTTAATTAGTCTCTAATTTTGATAATAAATATGACATAAGTGATAAATCTTGGTTTGAATGAGAGCTTCTCAATGGTATTGCCTAGTTTGTAGAGAAGTTTTTCCTAAAGATTTGGTTAGTCCCAAATTGATTGCCTTCTAGTTAAGATGAAGTTGTAATTTTTACAGAGATTACTTGCGGTTCAATTATTATGCTTTTAGTATGTTTTATTTTTATTTCAAAGCCAGGAAATTGTGAGTTCTAGTCTTGTCTTATGCATGAAAGCCAGCTGGGTGACTTTGGGCCAGTCACTCTTAGCCCAACCCATCTCATGATTGTTATGGGGAAAATAGGTGGAGAAAGGAGTACTGAGTGCGTTTGCCACCTTGAGTTATTGATAAAAATAATAAAAGCAGAATATAAATAAATATTACTTTACCATTGATATTTTAATATACATTGGCTTACAATTTATTTTTAATGTAAACTATTGCAAGACTGCTATGAATCTGGCAATATGAGAATTTGATTAAAAAAGCATCCATTGCAGAAGAATCTGCTTCACGCTATTTCTTTCAGTTTTATTGAGAACCAAACACGATCACATTTTAGTTTACAGTGTTTTGTGAGACCTTGTGTTATACAAATGCAGCAAAATCAGTTAAGTGAATAAACCACACAGCCCTAAATAGCTAATTATAAATCATTTGTTCTTTAATCACCTTTTGTGCTATAGGTGGAATTTCTAATGAAAAGTTACAACAGTAAATTAGCTTATAATAATTGATTTAAAATATATAGTGATTTTAATGGAGACACACATAAACAAAAGCTCACCTAACTGTTCCTTAGTGCGCAGGGTATTAAAGCAAGGCTCTGAGACAATTTGACAGAAGAGCTCCAAAAACATATTCTCCGAAGTGCTTTGCATATCTGTTTGATAATATATTTCTATCCCACAATTATTATGAACTTCATTTCTCTGTTGATAGACGAACCATCCTCCTAAGAAAAAATGATGCGTGTGCAAAAGAAATGGAATTTAGGCTGAAGGAGAATCTTATGTTCTATTTAGTGTAGGCTAGCAAAGTAAGCACTGTAGAATATTATTTAATATAAATATCCAAGTCCAATATATTTATTTGTTTTGTGCAACCTGGCATCTCCTAAATATATAATCAGTTTTAGAATTCCCAGGCACCTTGGGAAAAGACAGGCTGATTCCAATTCTAACATCAATGGTTTAAACCCATCTCAAGGTGCCAGATTTAAAAATGTTCCTTTATTCTATTTGTGGAATAAAAGCACATAACCACAGTACTTTTAGTAGAATCAATTGATCAGATGCACAAACATTCTAAACAAATGCCAAGGAAGCTCTAGATATACAACAGTTTCAATCTGCACATCATCAAAACAAGTGTGACTGCCCTACTACAGTATACACCACTATCAGTTTAAGTAAGCTGAATGGTACCCATGTCATTCCCCTCTTATACCACACTGAAAGAGATAAGTCTCATGATTAAGTTTTTTTTTAAGGAAGCAAATCATGGTGTTGATTCTCACATATCTGCAGCACAAGTTTGAAATTAAATAAATTTTGAAAAACAAAACTAGCTGAAGACATAATTGTCCTTCTTTATTGCAAGCTATAGTATATGCACTATGAAACTTTAAATGAAGTATTTTATAGCTGATAAGCTAAACCACTTACTATCAGGCAGCTGTACTTCCCTATATCTTACTAGCTGGCTGGGAAGCAGAGGTTTTGTATGAGCATGCTCAATGAGTGTGTCTTCAACCATTTGCATAACTCCTAATGCAGCCTGGAAAAAGAAGAAATTCATTGCAGATTTTATTCACTGCATGATCGTTCTTCATCTGTCTGTGACAACAGCAGAAGGGTAACAGATTTGACCGCAACAGCAAAATTAGGAAGGAGAAAGGAGAAGTTCTCTTGTAAATATTAAATCTGAAAGCTGAAACCATACATATGAATGCTACTCAGCATTCAGAAATAAAAGGGAGAATTCTTCATTATATCTGCATTATATTTAAAAATGTAAAAAGTTTAAAATATTTACACACATTCATTGCATACTTAATTTCTGTTTTCAGTTTCTTAATAATTTAAGATGAAATTGTTCTTTGGTTCATCATCCTTTTCATTTATGATAAACCTGCCAATGTTTTCCTGCTTCACCCTCCTTGACTTGCATGAGCTGTATCATTTTATACTGCTCTGTTTCTCCCAGTTTTGTGCACAGAGCACTTTGCAGATTAAATTTGAATTAACAATTCCTTAAGGCGCTGGCATGCTTAAGCCTCATGCCTGGATCCTATTTGCTTCATGTGAATGGGATAGTGTAATACAGACAGATGAATGCCAAAATGCCTTTCATTTCACCATGCAGAAAAGCTAACAACAAAATGGTTATATAAATTCAGAATCAAAAGTACTTATAAGAGAAACAAGGTATCTTAAAAGTTACAAAATAAAATGAAGATATAATAAGATGCATGCTAAGATTATATAGCACCAATCTGAGAAACAGTAAATAGTCTGACATTACAATTTTATTATAAAAAAGATGAAACACCTCACATTTCAATTGTGTGTTTATTTGGAAATAAATCCTATTAAATGTAATAAGATTTAATCCAAATGAATGGATTTTGCAGAAATATTAGAAAAACTAATTATTGCATATCCAAATTGTCGTAAAAGATGAAAGCATATGTAAGATGCAAAACAAAAATAATTGAAGTTAGCTACCCTCAGCATGAAACATATAATGCCCATTTTGCAAAATATGTATCCTGTCCCAATACTATATAACTATCCTCCAATTTATTGATATGATAAATTAACTGTTAATATTGCAATATTGAACATTAAGATAATACACTAATAAGGTTATTATTTAAAATTAGAACAAAAAGCTAAGATTTGGGGAATAAATAGGTAATAAATATCCATTAAAAGCACATCAAAACCAACCTGTTTTGTTATATTGCCATGGAGAAGTGCTTCAATATGTAACCGTGACAACAGTTGTGAAATAAAGGCCTTGAGGCGAGGAAGAGTGACATCTACAATAGATATGTAGGTATTTAAAATCAAATGCATTTTCCATTTGAAGGAGAGAGAAAAACGCATTATCTTAAAATACAATGTATTTCATAGCTTAGTAAGTAGAAAGAAAAAAATTTAATAATCAAAAAAAAAACAGTGAGTGTTTTCTTCACATATATTCATATTTGGGAAATGTTCCAACTCTCTCTTGCTGTGCTCACAGTGTGCCTTGTTCAGAATTCATATCTGGTTTGACCCAGATTTCAATATGGAAATGGCAAAAAAGACAGCTTTCTGTGCAATCAAACTAAACACACATCCATCTTCAAAATTAGTCATTCACATGATGCTCGAAGACAAAGTCCAAGCTGTTACTGACTAAAGAATGTAGCACTCTTGAAAGGTACATAACTGCCCTGACATCTTCATAATAGTGATTAAAAATGGTGGTTATTTTGATATATTTTTTAACACACATCTGTATGCTACAAGTATCTTTCTACATCTGAGGGTATCTCATTTATTTTGGGTATCAAATGCCAAAATTGAGAATTATCAGAATGGTAGTATAATGTGTCTAGAAGGCACAAAAATGAACAATGCTATGTTACAGCTATTACCTTTAATTCTGGCACATTCATGCCTACACAGGTACCTACACACCTTTGAATCTATCTATCTTTCAGACAGACGCAGACAAACATTTGGTGTAGAGATTAAGGCATTAGACTGGAAATCTACAGACCATGGGTTCTAGAGTTTCCTGAAGTATGAAGGTCATCTGGTGACTTTAGTTCAGTCATTTTCATTCAGCCCAACTCATTAGACTGAGTTGTTGTGGGAAAAATAGTAGGCCAGAGCATAATGCCTTGAGTGATATTAATATATGCCTAGAGCACCACTTGAACACAATCAGCATTGACATCATACAATTGCAAAAGGCAGCTTTATTTAGAACAGCTTACATCCTGAGACCATATCTTTAATATGATTAAATGACATCTTCCTAAGATGTCCCTAAGAAGGATTCAGTAGGTGGACAAAAATGCCAAATCCAGTGAGGCTGACTGTGCAACCAATCATATGCATTTCTATCTGGATGCTATTTACTATATACTACAATGCATTTAGTGGGATATGCATTTTAATACCAATCTTTTCACACATTTTGAGAGAACCTGTTTTATGTTAGACCTCTAACTGCAGATTAAGTTACCCAAAGTAATCAGCCATCAATAAACAGACAAAAGATGGTATGCATAGTCCAGATTCACCAACTTCCTATTTATAATAGACATGCATAGTGGGAAAGGTAGAAAAACTAAACTAAACACAAGCTAGGTAGAGAAAAGAAAGGAAAGCTATCAACTCTTTTACTAAGGAAATCCTGTCTTTCTTTCTCATAGAACTCTAATACTAAGATGAATATGGGATGCGATAGCAAGAGAAAATTGTTGCATTTTGTAAATTATGTTTATCATGTAGATTCTATACTCTTTTCCTATACATAGTAAGGGGACAGCTATATTTCAATCCCAATTGTAAAGGAAAACTGTATTTAAATAATAGCTAAAAAAGCAAATGGGCACCAATATCCAAAATTAATTTTAAAATTTGAATTTGAATTTGTATTGTTGAAATACATAAATTGTTTTCTATAGACTTATTGTCACAGCCATGTAAATCATCACAAAATTTGCCATTGTTTAGTACTTTGTACCTTGCCACTATATACATAATTTACACTGTGCACTTTATGTAAACACTGTTCTTTACAAAAGGATGCTTCATGTTAAGTGGTAAATATAAGACAGAGAGAGAGGTGGGGGGAAGGAAGGAGGGAGAGAGGGGGGGAGGAGGGGGAGGGAGAAAGAGAACTTGTTTCCTTGCAACTACATGTATCAGACGTGAAATCTGCCAGAACCTTCTTCCTGAAGCTGCACATACAATATTTGACTTGTAATTAGAACTCTATTTGGATAATTTTGCTAAACTTCCCCATCTATTTATTCTAGATACTTAATTGCTACGTTAACCTCCAGGAATAATGACTTTAATAATTAAGAGTCATCTAAAATTTAAATTTGGAACTTAAAATCCTCAGTGAGAAAACAGAAAATTCTCCATATTTGTTTCAACTTCCTCACAACAATCACAATGTCCAAATACTCCACAGGACCTTAGGGCATATTTTCTTTAAAGTAAACCAAATTAACTTACCAAATAACCGAAAACATGCAATTTAGTTTTGGCAAAACCTTACCATCTAAAGCTTCTTTTAATTCATTTTTGGTCCATGCAACTTCTGTCATTAAGAGCCGAAGGTAATACATTGCATGCTCATGTGGCTGTTCAGCTCGAAAGTTGTTAAGTGATCGCATATACTGTTAAAAACAAAAGCCAAGGCAAAATAATGTAGTTTTTCAATAACCTCACTGATTTAATCACTTTTATACTAGGCTAGTATTAAAGGCTAGCATTTAATACTGGGGCTCAATAATTGTAAGCAAATATTGCATGACTAAGCAGGTAGAGCTTGGGGAATGGAAAATGAATACCGGTACATTGTTTCCCAGTCTTTCCACCCACTCTCTGAATCGGAGTAAAAACCAAACCATCGCAGAACATTTTTAATGGTCAAAAAGGTGTGGCTGGAGAATCAGGATATCATTGCAATGAGTGAAAAATCCATCCCTAATAAACGGGATGGTGAGCATTTATTTATTCTATGGATTCCTAGCCTTTTGCAAACTGAAGGGTTAAGGATCACAGCTTACATTGTCTACTCATAAACAAGTCACTGATTAGTGAAGATCACTCCCTATTAAATGTTCAGGATTCTAACTTTAATTTAGAATTATGCATTGTGTCTTACCCTTTTCTACAAATGTTCATTTTTATGGCAAAGAAATAAAACAATTCATGTTTAATGCTTTTCTTTTTTTTCATATAGGGCGTTTCTCATTCTAATAGGATCAAACTTTTCAGACAGCTTACCGCCTCCTTGATAATTTCAAATCGCTTTTCATCAACCTCGAAGGTAGCCATTTTCTCAATGATCTTCTTCAACAGAATATGTTGCTTATCATTATAACCTTTTACAGAAAGCTACACAAAGAGAATACATAAGTAGTTGTATACTTTAAGCAGCCCTTCCATCCATTAAAAGAAAAGATCTCCAATGAGAGCAATAGGCACCAACCAACATTGGGGAATTCTCTCCCTCCAATCAATAGAAATCCAGTTTAATCTTTAATTGCACAGCATTACATTTATGATATTATAATGATTTGTTTCTTTCTCTGAACTCTGAACAAGTTGAGTTAAACATAGTGGGATTTATATTACAATGGAAAATATATTGTACCATGTTGCAGAGCAAAGTTTAATGTGGTGGTATGCAATTGGTTTGTGGAGAAAAAACAGTATTTTTAAAAAACTACCTTGTTTCCCTCAAAATAAGACATCCCGTGATAATAAGCCCAATCGGGCTTTTGAGCGCATAGCAATAAGGCCAAGTGCTTATTTCAGGATTCAGAAAAATATAAGACAGGGTCTTATTTTTGGGGAAACACAGTATATTGATATGGTCTGAGAGAAGAGTAAACAAACTTAGCTTTTTTCTCTTCATGTAAAGACTAAAAGTACTCTCTTATTATTACAGAAAAACATGGAAGAAAAACTTTCCACTCAATGTTTCTAACACAGAACAGTTCACAAGGTTCTTATTAAGGTAAAGCAGAGTATCAGAATGCTTAATTCATGAATATGACGGATTACTAAACTACAGTACTTCATAAAGTGGTTAATTGCAAACCATATAAATGTTTTAACACTGTCATTTAAAGTTATGTTAATAATATATATTATCATTACTCATCACTCTGAATAATGCAGTGTTTGCATACATAAGTGAAGAATGGACATTTCCTTCTTCTAGTATGTTATATTATGTTATTATATTGTAATACAGAAATAATTAAGCATAAAAACTGAAGTATAACTTTTAATAGAACACAGCTCCAGTCTCTGAATATAACATTTTAAAATGAATAATTATGATACAAGAAAAATGAAAATGTCATGGTAGATGAATTAAGAATCAATTTTATCTTTATTGATCCCAGTTTGTGATCCAAAAATATAAGATACAGTAACACTGCTGAAGCAAAGTAGTTGCCTTACTAGGTACAACATTTCAAGTTTAAATTGAAACTAAAATGTTGTTTAAATTGTTTTTTAGTTACAAAAGAAGAGACTATTATAGCTCAAGGTCAAATTGTTAGTTTTTTGGGGCTAAGGTGGTTTTTTTTCTTGCAGATATTTCATTGCCAGGCTAGGGAACACCACTAGCCGGGGGTAGGTTTGCTGGCTGTTTATATACATTGTAGCTTGCCCTACAGTGGATGCTTCCACTTTGATTGTTCTTTAATTAAGATAATCTTGGAAGCTAAGTATTCAGCCATCTCAGCCTTCAACAGACACAAACAGCCTAAAACACATGCCGTCTAACAACCAACACGCAGATAAGCAGAAAATAGCACCACATAAATAGTAAAGGAGGAAATAATATCCCATTCAAGAAACCATCAAAGAAAAAAATCACACACACTAGCAAAAGTGCCTGAGCAAGCTACAAACAGCCAGCATACTCCATTCTTCTTTGCACTGCTTTCTAGCCCGGTAATAAAACGTCTGCAAGAAAATAACTAAGCTCAAAGAGCATTGAGAACCCAATTTTTTACTCAATTTTTAACATTCCATATTATACAATATTTATACAATACACACTTCTTTCAAAACATCTTTTCTTCAGATAATAACATTAAACTCTTTAAAATGACAATTAAAATATTAAAAACAGATATTTTATATTTAACCAAAAATCTCAGGAATTGATGATATATAAGAAATTGTTATTTGTAAAAATAAATAAGCTCAATTTATAATACTCAAGTTGACCCTTACAAGCAATTTTTCTACAGCCAATAATGCAGTTAGTGGTATTTAGTTCAGTGAAATGTTTAACAAAGTAGACTCTACTCTGCAAAAGCTCATGCCTCAATGAACATGTTAGACCAGGGGTCCTCAAACTTTTTAAACAGGGGGCCAATTCCCTGAGACTGTTGGGGGGGGGACGGACCAACTGGGTGGGCAAGGCTAGGTAATCATGTGACTGTGACTAGGTGGGCATGGCCAATTTAGCAGTCCATTAAACAATGCATACAAATTAAATTTTAATTTGTTTTGCTCCTGGGGGTGTTTTATTTGCTTTTGTTTGCATGTTGCTCTTTTGGTTGACTTTTCTTTTTACTAGATCGTTTTTTTTCAGTTGTTTAGGAGTCTAGTGGTCCACTCCAGGAAACTCAGTTTTGCAGCAATTCTTCTCAGCCTCAAGGAGCTTACAATCAACGTCTCTCTCTCTCTGTCTTTCTGTCTCTCTTTCTCTGTCTCTCTCTCTCTCTATCTTCTGGAGGCGGAGGAGGTCACAAATGGGGCGTGCAGATGCCCTGAGAAATCTCCGCGCACCCCGTTTTTGACCTCCTCCACCTCCAGAAGCACTCTGCAGGCCAAAAAGCTTGGCCTTACCTTCCAGTTCCAGCCTGAGGGGTTTGCAAAAGTAAGTTCTCCGCTTGGGCAAAGGATGGGGGCCGGCGGGTGGGTGGGCCGATGTGGGTAGGGCAGCCTTGTGGTCCTGCGTGGGCTGGATTAATGGCTTTGGTGGGCCGTATCTGCCCTGTGGGCCATAGTTTGAGGACACCTGTGTTAGACTACCACCACTGTTCATTTTTAGTGCAAAGTATCTAAAAGACTGATAATCTAAAAAAGTCAAAGTAATACTTTTTAGGATATGAAATACATAAAGATGCAAATTAGAAATGTATTACAAAGCTCTATATGGCCACAAAAAAGCACTCCAATCATAGCTAAATCAAGTGTCTTTTTCCAGACACTTCCAGACAAGAGAGATGCAAGAGAATACTCAACTGGTAACTGTTATGCAAAAAATATTGAAAAAAGCAAGCATTTTCCAAGTGCATAACTCTCAAGCCATCTCACTTCTTTCTGTTCCTCCATCTTACTTACAAGTATTGCATTCATTGCTGATGCAATGAAATAGCTCAAACCTGAGAGGCGTGCTGCATATGTATACTCTTTTAAATCATCCTTCAACAACCTCATTAATAGGTATGTCATGTTGCAATGGAGAGGGTCAACGTAAAGATAGCGACTAACAAAAAGAAAAAAAGGATGCTTTGATACTTTGTGACATGATAATGGATGAAGAAACATGACTGAAGAGTATGTATATGCAGCCTCATAACCAATATTTCTGGGAATGAAATACTAAGATAAAATAAGGAATTTGTTTCCTCGTTAACATTAATGATTTAACTTCTGGAAGAAAGAAGTAGAATCTGAACTCCAATTTGGGCTAAATTTCATTTAATTTCATTAATTTAATGAATGATATAAAATGAAATGAAAAATCTGAATATGAATGGGAATCTTGAAGACTAAGAATACTTCATGTAAAATCCAAATTATAAGAAATTAGAAATCAAGGTTGAAAAAGGAATTTTAAAATTAGATCCACAATTGGGAAAATCATTTTAAAAATGCTTCCAGCAAATCAAATTGTTTCTTGATTTCTGGAAGTAAATTTAAGACTCTTAAAAGAGTCTTCTTGATGTTGGTACTTACATACATCCCATAGATGGTATTTTGGAGCTCATAGTTCAAGTCAGCTAGTTCTGCTGCATATGCATACTCGTTGAGGGAGTCTTTGAGTAGTTCAAGGTACAAATAGGCCATGTTACAATGTAAGGGATCCACGTAAGCAAATGGGCTGGAAGAAAATGTTAGAAGTAAAATATTTGATATAAATAATTCTACAGAACCTCAATACTGGGTCTCAAGGTACAATGTTTAAAAAAAAAGTTGGCACTTCCTGTTATGAGTACCATTAAGACAATACATGAATAGAAAAATACAAAAATGGAGGATTGGTAGCATTGCTACTCTAGATGTGTAAGGGTGAAACTGGACTTTCATCTATTCTGAACATGTTTCAAATTAGACTTCGGTTAATTCTATACTATTCTATTCAGTTAATAGTATGTTTTTACAACCATTGATCATGGTTTTTTGTTTTTGCTATTTTTTGTAATGTACTGAGTTTGGTCATGTCCAAAAGATGTTTGTTAAATACTAATTTGAAACTATATTTTATTTTCTACACTATTTATTAGCTATATGAAACAGTTAAAATAGTTCATTTTAGATTTTGGAAAACAGTATCACTAATAGACAGACTTTTGTCATTCAATACTAAGGAAACAAATGATATTCCTGAACTTGACAACTGGCTGAATGTGGATGAAACAATCCAAGGTCATAAATAAACAAGATGGAGGTGATGCTGGTCAAGTACTTAGAATAGAAAACTGAATCTGTTCCAGAAGCAAATGAATTTCCTTTGAAATATCCATGTTGTGATGTTGAAAGAGATGCACTATGTGCTAATTATTCATCTGATCTCAAATCAAACTATTGATCTGACTTCAAAGGTCCAACTCCTGAATGGCTTAAGAACTCTCCCATCTAAGAAATTATTGGTGTTGTGCAATTGCATGCTGCAATTCTTCATGATCCAATGGACTAATCTGCCAGGATGGCCTGCAAATGTGCTGAGTTCTTCTAAGTTCATGCTTGTGATAAACAGATTAAAAGTCTCATTTTATATTTGTCCTTGCAAAGACTAATTTGCTGGGCATGCATGAAATAGCTTTAAATGCACAAATACAAAACTGTGGAAAGCATTTTAAAGTTATGATTTATGTATTTATTAATTTTATATACCACCCATATCGGTGTTTGGGGCAACTCTAGGACGCTTTTGTAAAAGTATGTATATTTTAATGTTACAATTATCAATATTTTGCAGATTTTACAAAATGTATTAATCTGCTTTTCTAAATCTGGCTTTTGAAAGCTGCTTTAGCAGCTCATTATTTAATTGCTCTTTTTTAATTGGTTGTTCTACACTTCAATGTTTTTTTGCGAAAAGAAGTATAAATTCACATTTAACTTATATATCACCTCAGTAAAACCTCAGTGAATTGGATTCGAAGTGTAAGAAAAATACTTGTTGTGGGTTATTACTAAAATACAACCATCTTCTATTTTAAGCATACAAGATATGTCTTTTGTTCATCTGTAGTACTTAAAAAGTTTCCAATATATTTTTGCAATAACCAGAGAGATAAAATAGTCTGTACAGATAGTATTATGATAAAGACAACTCAAAGACTCAAGTCATGTTTCAAGCAACAATACTTCTAAATATGAAGAACTTGATGTGGATTGAGACAGTTTATTGTACAGAGAAGTCTAATTTCTACTTCTTATTTGCATAGGTAGCAGTTAAGAGAATACAAAGTTGTCATATTGAAATTGTTATAAAAAGTTTACGGAATAATTTCTCTATCACAAATAAACAAACAAATAAAAGAAACAAGATGCACAATTTAATACTTATTAAAAATAACCGAGGGCTGGTAATATGCTTCAAATTTAAAACATTGTAACATTTTAACATTTTTAAACATTTCAAATCGTTTATCTAGTATGTTTTTTTCATTTTTAAGAAAAAATGGAAATGCCTTGAAAGTCATAGGAATGTTGCCTCACTCACAAATGTCTAATGGACAAAACTATTCTATGTTTAATAAAAATTAATCATCTTGTACATAATGGGACTTCCTTTCAGAAAAGCTTGAATAGTGTTACAGCTGTGTTTCTCAAATTTATGTTGTTATGCACCAAGTAAATGACAGAACATGCACTCAATTAAACACTCATTCTTAACTGTCAGCCCAGAATAAGAAACCAATGCCACATAGGTCAGTACTACTTTTATTGTAACAGGGATAGAGGAAGAAACTTGCAAGTCTGAATGTGCTTCTCCCCTTCATCACTTTATGCCAGTGTGAAACAGGGAGGGGCTTGTATGAGACAATTTATAAAATTACTTTCTTGGCCCAGACTCTGACTGATAAGAGCAGTCAGAGCTCTTATCTGATCATTGTTTTGGAAGGATTTCTTTTTAATCTATACACATTTGGAAGTTGGACTATACATGCATTCTAATCCAGAAGAAGAATTCCTTGCTTTTGAATAATTGATTGTGATCACAGGCTATTCACATTTACTAAATCTGTAATATATCTAATTAGGTAAAGGTTTCCCCTGTCGTGTTTGACTCTAGGTGATGGTGCTCATCTCCAGTTTCTTAGCCAAGGGAGTCAGAGTTGTCCAAATACACTTCCGTGATCACATGGCCAGCATGACTATATGCCAAGACGCATGGAATGTTGTTATGTTCCCACAGAGGTGGTACCTATTTATCTACCTGCATTGGCATGCTTTCAATCTGCTAGGTTGGCAGACACTGGGGCAAGAACAGGAGCTCATTCCATCACATGGTATTTGCGCCTTGAATTGCCAATCTTCCCATCGACAAGCCCAGGTCTTAACTACTAGGCCACTGCACCTCCTTATTATACTTAATTAGCAGCTTTAAATAGACAAAATGTATGTTTAGTAAATGTGGAGCTTTACTGTGCCTAACTAAGTGGACCTAGGCAGGTTACACATTAGTTGATGTGGGCAATCTGAAATCCCAAAATAGGTCTTTGAAATTTTGTATTAATCTGATTGATGAAATAAAAAAAACATGTTCCTTTTCCTAACAGCAGATGAGATCTTGTTCAATGGTTCAATATATGGAAGTCAACAAGACATTGATGCTCAATGTGGAAAGTCAAGAGAGAGACAGGTTACAATCACAGAACCTATTACAGACAGGTAACCCATGGAAAGGAGGCACATCTACCTTTAAACCTGTCATATCAATAGAAGCTGGAAAAAACTCAGTAGATTGAATGGACAGTAGTTTTGTGGGTTTTGCAACCATATGATGACTACTTAATGGTTACCACTTAGTACTAATGTATAGGCAGTACTCAACTTACTGCCACAATTGCGACCAGAATTTTTATAGTAAATCGGTGCAGTCATAAAGCAAGTCATCAAGTGACTAAACCCAATTTAAAATCATTTTTACCCTATTTCTTGCCAGCTGGATGAATTTTGGCCAGACACTCTCTCTCAGCCTAACCCCCCTCACAGGGTTGTTGTTGTGGGGAAACTAGGAAGAAGAAGGTGTATTGGATATGTTTGTCGCCTTGAATTGTTTAAAGGCAGGATATAAACAAACAAAGTGGTCATTAAGCAAGCCAGCTTTGACATTTTCCATCAGAAACCAGCCGGTAAGACTGCAAATTGTAACTATCTGTCTGCAGGATGCTGCAATTGGTAAGTTAATGTGAGCCGGTTCCCAAGTGCCTAGATTGCAATCCCATGATTATGGGTAGTGCAAGAATTGTAAGTGTGAAGATAGGTTGTAAATCACTTTTTTCGAGGCCGTCGTAACTTTGAACTGTGATTAAACTAACAGTTGTAAGTAAGGATTACCTGTATTAAGCAATGATATTCTTTGTTCAAGTTCCAGTTAAAGCTGCAACTATCTCATCTTCTAATATATTTTTCATCTTGCCCATTCCCGCACTACATTTCACACAGAGATCCATGACTTACAACCACAATTGGAACCAGGATTTTGGTGGTAAGTTGTGATGATTGTAAGTCAAGGCATCCATGTGATCGGACACAATTTTATGACCATTTTTACAGCACTCATAAGTCTGAATCACATAGTTGTCAAGCAAATTGTGCAGTCATAAGTGACAACCTATGCCAACTGGCAAAAAAAAAAAAAAAAAAACCCACAGGAAACTGGCAGAAAAGTTGCAAGCTGAGTTGCGTGACAATGGGACACTGCAAGCAATTATAAATGTGAATGGGTTGCCAAGTGGCCAAAATGACATAATTTGACTATGGGGGGGGGGGGGGTTTACCACAACATTTCACAATGCCCAGAAGCACCCTTTTGAAGGCAGTTGTAACTCTGTATGGTCATTAAATGACCAATTGTAAGTCAAGGGCTACCTGTAGAAATACTATTTTCTCTTTGAAAAAAGATATTGTGGACAAATTGATTATACTATATAAATACACAAATACATGCATTCACTTTTACACGAGCTGTTCATCAGTCCAATTCTATCTTTCTTATTTAGTCAATTCTCATTTAAACTACTGAGGTTCTTATAATCTTAACATTTTTCTTCTTTTGTAAAACCACAAATATTGGGAACAATAAAAAGACTACTCAGCAAAAACTTACTCTCAGTTTAAGGAATAGTTTCTATTTCTGTTTTATGTCTTATTCGAAAGACAATATATTGTAATACAGAAATTACCATTTCAGGATGTTAAATCATCTAGATTTCTTTTCTAAATTTCTTCAAAAGCAAAGATCTTAAAAATGGGCAATATCAACTTTTTTGAAAGTTAATAATTTTTCTAATTTTTCCTGGGAGACAAAGTAAGCTTATATTAATAAATTCTGAATTTAGTATTCAATCACTATATAAATGAGGCAATGTATTAGAAGATTGGTTTGCTACATCTATGTGTTGGGAACTATAAAACAATTCAAGTATACCCAGCAGGGAGATAGAACAGAGTTATTTGTTCTTAAAAAAGTTCACTAGAAGGAGGTAATTTCAAAAAAAGTAGATAACGCAGATACACAGGAGGAACTGGACATTCAAAGCAGGGTGAATTTGATTTAAATCAAGTCGATTTAAATCATGATTTAAATCAGTAGTAAAAAGGCTTGATTTAAATAAACTCAATTTAAATCATAACTTTTAAAGAGCAACTGTCATCTCTGTCCCACAGCGGCTCCTCCTCTGACCTGCTGTTGACTCACTGACAGTCCTAATATTGCAGAATGTACAGCCTCATGCTACATAACTAAGCTCCATTTCATGCTGAATAAACTAAATTATTAATGTATCTTAAATAGAAAACTATTTAAATAGAAAAATCTATATTTAGATTTTTACTCCAAAAGCATTTTATTAAAATAAATTTGATAAAAATAAAATCCAATTTAAATTTAAAAAATCCATTTTTTTATTTTTTAAAAAAATCATCTATTTTTATCCACCCTGATTCAGAGACTTTCAAAATATTGTAGCATTTTCTACCATCCAATGAGCAATTTTCTTGCAAGCAACCTGCAATTTTTGAAGTATTCCAAAACCTCTTATTCCCAAAGACAGCACAAAAATATATTTTCTTCTCTCTGAAAAATGATTGTCTATATTAATGATGTCCAAATCTGAAGCAGAACTTTGTTCATTTTTCCAATGTTATTTTACTGATTTTGTCAAGTTGTTTTTTTTTAATCTATGCATTTGTTGTATGCAAATTTTTCTATCGCAATATGTTTTTCCACCAGGAATGCATTTTATATAAACTTTTCCCTAATGTAAACAGTTTAGCAGAAAAGATCAAGTACAAATATTTAAGTATAATTGTCTTTCAATTTACATATTGGTATAGGCAATAAAGTTAGAATTTCTTCTCTATGCCTCCCCTTTACACACCAGTAATAAACCAAATGGAATTATTATATTAATTATTAAATCCAGTAGTTTCATATTATTACTCTTTAATGAATGCATGCGTATGTATGTATGTATGTATGTATGTATGTACGTTTGTGAACGATGGAAGCATTACTCTTCTGGACAAAGAACAGCTAACATAACAATAAATTATTACACATTATTAATTTGTAAATTAATGCTTTTACATTTGCATAATAAGGTCAATCAAGATGTCATTGTTAAGTAATTAAGATCCCTTGAAAAAATCTTTCAATAATCTCTGAGGATGAAAAAATTCTAAACAATAAACCAAATTAAGGCAGCAATCACAGTGGCTGCACATCTATCCTGTTGTTAAGAAATCTAACAAAAGATATATCTATTTGCAAGCAAGTTCATATACACATTTCCAGGATGAATTTTTCATCTGCAGAAAAGCTCTAGCTGGGTATTACTTACTGTGACCTGTTTTGAAGGGAGAGAAGAATAGAGAGGTCTGAATTCAGACCTCTGCTTTCAAGTAAAAGCTCTTGGATCATGTTTTCATCCTCTGGGAAAAGCTACACAAAATTAGGCCAAGACTGCAGATATCAAATTCTGATTTGAGGCAGAAGGTAGGGATAAGCAATGTTGGTTATACAAAGAAAGCAATTCCATGGGGGTTCCAAATTACATAAATTCTGCTATATGTATATCTTACCATATTTAATGTGAAGAAATATAAACATAAACATGTTTGCCTACCTGAAAAATTCGAAGTTGAGACAAGCTTTAGGAAGGAAAAATTTGTCATCCTGCTTGAACCATAGTTTGCACATAGCAGTATCCTGCATTTAAGAAAACAGCACATTTTCTATTAAAAGAATTTTCCAGCCTGTGGGGCTCCCACTGCTTTGCTCACTGTGGCTGCCAATAAAGGTAAGGCCGATGGCAGGGGAGAGAGACCCATTCTGGGCCTGCCGCGCTTGGCCAAAGGGCACGTGCCACAGGTGGGCCGGCGAGGGCGATATGGGAGACGCAGCCTTGAGGTCCCTGGCCGCCCCCTGCCCATTGGCAGCCACAGCAGGCGAGGCGCCTCCTCCCAGGCCCCTGTCCCTTTTCCTCCTGACAGCCAGACAAACTTAGGCAAAAAGCCAACCAGTGGCTGGGAGGAAAGAGGCGAAGGGCGGGGCCAGCTAATGATGGGATCAGCCGGTTCACTGAACTGCAGAAAAAGTTAGCTACCAGTTTGCGACTAGAATTCAGGATTTCCTGTTCCTATTTCAGTACCATTATCACTAGACCAAACTCGCTATCTGCATTGTATAATGGGATTGTGCAATTTGACCTGGAACTAAATTTAAAAATTACATTAGAAATTCAAATTAAACAATTTAATGAATATGAATGGGAGTTGATGATTCACTACTAGCCTAGAACTAGCCTACAGAGCACTAGTGTAAAATCGCATTCACTATTATTAATTATAGAACACAAATATACCTTAATTAGAGTTGGGTACTGTGGTGCTTCCTTCTCCAAAGATACAATTTCAAAGTTAGTAGGAATAAATTCATTTTTCATTGGAAGCTTGAATTTCCCATTAAGGTCAGCATTTTGCCATTTCTATGTAAAAGAAATGTAAATAAGGGAAGTATTTAAAAAAAAGAAAAGAAATTGCAATGAAACCAGGCTTATTATCACCTTTAGATATCTGTGTTCCTCAAAATTGTAACCAAAATTAAAACTGGTAAGTAACATAGTGCAATATTTGATATATGATTGTTACTGTCCACAGTCCATTGTTTTGATTTTTTTGTAATCATAATACGGAATATGACATGCATAAGCTGAGGATTGTTTCCATACTATAACCATCACATTGGATTACTAGACTGTTCCATACAAATATTACCATGAAAATAGTTGTCTTTTGTCAGCTTCAATTACACAAATTCTTTTGGGTGGTTAAAGACATTAAAGGTATATAAGTTTATATTTTATTTGTATCCCACCTTTATTTTATAAATAATTCAAATGGCGAACATATCCAACACAGCTTCATCCTCCTATTTTCCGTACAAGAACAACCCTATGAGATGGGTTGGGCTAAGAGAAAATGACTGGCACGCGTGCGCACACACACACACACACACACACACATGCTAGATGGGTAATGCAAGCTCAAACAACAACATGGATTTAAAATCACTTTTTAAATAATGGATACAATTGTAGTGAAATTTGTACTTTCAGTTCTTTGCATTGGACTACATAAGATCAAAATAAGCAAATAACGTTTTTGATAGACCAGTTTAGGAAAATAAATATTTTACATTTTTATATTCGAAATATCTAATTTTTAAAGAAAGAAACTCTAGTAAATATACAGAACAAGATCAACATAATGCCATAAAACTAGATAAAATTGGTAGAGAAAAACTTCAAATTATTCATTGCACTTATACAAGAGACAGCTAATATTTATATTCAAAATAGTTTCCTTTGCAGTAGTGTAAATATTTTTTAAACACATATTTGGGTCTGTTACCACTAACAAGACACTATCACTGCTCTTAGCATACCTTAATGACTTCATCAGAAATCTTTTCTTGCTTGTACTGGGTTCCATACCACCGTTCTTTTTTATCAGTTTTTCCTTCAAATGTCTTAGAGACAATTGCAACCCTATAAATAAAAATATATGTAACTATATAATCTATGTAACTAACCTGATAAAAATTTACTGCTTTGTCACAATGAAATTTGCATTAGGACAGTTTAATATTCCTGTTGAAATGTATTGTCTGTTCACATTCATTTTAAAAGAATTATGTTAATTCTTAGTGTTATATTAATACTCTGATATTTGAGTGAGCAAATTAAATTATAATAGAACAGTGGCTCATACATTGTTTGACTACTCCTTTTCCCAGTTTCAGATAATATCACTGCTCTCACAAAAACCCCACTCAGTTATTTTATACAACAGTATATTGTATCTTTGATTCACAAATAAGTAATTACAACTTGCTCCAATATCCAGGATATGCCCAAATTACTTCTTAGAGATAATAACCACCATTCTAAAAACCACTGTTCTAGAGCATTTAGTAGAGACTTACGATTTTTTGTCAATTCAAGGGAATAACAATTCATAATTTTATACCTGAATTGAATTATAAAAATGGAATAAAATCCCTAAGCTATAACTATAGCCTGAAATTCTATTTTCTTAGGTGAAAATCTGCTAAGAGGAACAATATTAGAATTTGTATAAAGGAGAGAAGATCAAGACAAAAAAAACCGCACAAAAGAGGGGATTGGACTAGATGGCATCTGAGAATATTCTATAAAAGAACCCTTCCCACCCCTAAAAATATCTGAGCATTGGCTTAAATTAAAGGGTGATTTCTGAATTTTATCCTCAGCTGATATAAGCTTATGCAACGTTCAAGTTTCAATTCGATTTCCAGCCGTTTTAAATAAAATACTTGGGGGGGGGGTGGGGGGGAAGCTTCAGGCCTTCCATGGTAGAATCTCTCTCTGCCATATTCCAAACCGCTTTAGTAAGTAAGTATCTCACCAAGTAAAATGAGGAGATTCTATTTTTCTTTCCAGTTAAAATAAAGAGGCAATTATCAATTATCACTATCTTTGCAGCATATTACACGCAAGAGAAATTATTTACTATCAACATTGTTCTGCATTTCAGAGACAAATAGTTCTTAATTGGAAAAATATAAGGCACTTTGATGGACAAAATATTATCAATTTAAACATTAAATACGAATTAAATCTTATAATAATGGCCAGAACTAAACAAATAGTGGAACAATTGTTTGATTTAGACTTGTTCTTTCTTGCCAAATAAAATATCAACATGCATCTTCTGTGCCATAAATGAAACAGTTCACATAGCTTTTTTGTACTTTATGTATGAATACAAAGCACAATAGAGTAACATGAGAAGCTTTACTTCCCTTTGAAATTAGTTTCCATGGTAACAGCTCCATTACTGACATTGATAGAATGCTGCTTATCTAAATGTTTCTAGTGCACTCCCCCCCCAAATCAAGATTTTAGCAATAAAAGAGAGAATAAATTATTTACACAACAGCTGGAAGTCTATCTTTATAATATAGATGGCTGTTCTACAAAGACTGTGAATGTTAAGATAACACAACTATCATCATTCCCTATATAAATTTATTCATTGCCAATGAAAAAAAATTGTTGCCAGTAAGCAATTGCTGGTTTTTTTTGTTTTGGGGGGGGGGGGGGTTGACCTTCATTCAGTTAATTATCGAAACTGTAGGACAAATTTAGAACAACATGTTCTATTAGTAATGTTAATGTAACTGAAGCTAAGCAAACATCAAATCAGTTGATAGCAGTGGTGAAATTGAGCCGGTTCTATCTGGCTCAAGCGAACCGGTATTGCCGGTGGCATTTTTGACCCTCTGCACATGTGCTGCAGGCTCTGCACATGCGTGGAGGAGGCACGAACGCTCACATTTGTGAACCGGTAGCGAAGGTAAGTAAATTTCACCCCTGGTTGATAGGAGTATTTTTCTTCTTGTATTACAAACTGGAAAGAACCTCAACGCCACAAAGGAACAGACCATTTTTTTCTTGTTTTCTGTTCCTTCACAAATCATTTGTTGGAGGCAGCAAAACGAGCAGACTGCACAAATACCGGTAGAAGTAAAGATCAATAGGCACTCTATCTTCACACTTTTTTTTTTCTTTCCAATACCTGTTTCTTTCAAGAAGCAGGCTGTAGGAAGGAACAAATACTTCTTACCAGGGACAAACAAGTAGGGATTTTTTGTACTGGGATATTTTAAACAGCAAAATTAGTGTTTTAAGAGTTGTTAAGGTACCGATTTCACCTTTTAACGCTTCTTACAAACACACACACACACAAACCAGAAACATTTTGGAATGTGTCCCTTGACATGCTACACAGAACTTGGAGGAGACTCAAGCTGGAAGAAGTGATGTACTTCAGCTCTAGAGCAACTGTGTGAAAAAGGAACTCATGGTTCTCCTTTGTCAAAGAGATGTGATGACTCAGTTCAGATGATCCTCAAACGAAATCTGGTGTAATGCTTAAAAGAAGGAGCTCATGGGGAGACTTTGGAGCTCTCTTCCAACCCAATCTACCTCAAGGTTTGCTCTTGTGAGAAAAAATAGAAGAAGGGAGCAAGAAATTAAATTCCCAACCAAATTGGAAATAGACTTCCAATTATATTCCCTGGTTCTGACTTGGAAGACAAACACTAATCATAACAAAAACAAGAAAAGCAGATTCATAAAAGAGGAAGGCAGGTGCTGCTTATTTTGAGTCTTCTCAGGGTTTATTCAGACACACCTCCTAATCATACCTAACAGTGAAAGCATTATGACTGAATGCAAATTAGTATTATGCGGAAGGCAGGAGGGATGCCTTTGAGTCAGTTTTGACTCCTGCTGACTATCTAGACAAGTGTGTGCAGTTTTCTTCGCAATGTTTTTGGATATGGTTTGCTTTTGCCTTTTCTCTATGGCTGAGAGAAAGTGAGCCAATTGGCTTCCATGTCTCAGCCAGGACTCGTTTTCAGATCATCCTCACTCCTAGTCCAGTGTCATAACTACTAGGTTGAATTCCCTCTCCATAAGTGCATAAATAGTGATGAATTTATTTAGAAAGGCAATGCAATGCTTTGGATTCTGCTCTCAAAAGGTGCTTCAGAGCCTGCAGGAATGGAAATGCATGCAGCACCTGTAGGCATTTCATTAAAGCAGTTATATCTGCTTCCTGGAGCTCTTGCCAGTTGACAGGCACTGCATTTGTGATCACTTGTGTTTTAGAAGCATCTGTCTGAAATCAGACTCAAAGCATCATACAGCCCTACTATTAAAACTGAATGACAATCCCTCCCTTAAAAAAAAAATCACATTTGAAAAGCATGTAATTCTCATTATAATATAAAAATTACTACTAAATTTTGCTCCTAATTTATTATTCCATGCAATGTCTTCACAAAGACATCTAAAGATATTTTAAAATGAGGCAAATTTCAGGTATTAGTTTAGAAAGTATTTGCTAATCCTTGTTATTTAGGGAAGAAATATAATCTGTATCTTTCAATAAGCAACACAATGTACCATTTATGAATCACAGTAATACATCAGAATATGGCAATACATCTTACCGGACATTTTCAGGTTTCAGTTTGTTCAACACCATTTCTATTAAATCTGGCCTAAATTCTTCAAGTAAATATTCAGCAGCGAGAACTTCTTCAATAGGATAGTACTAAAATAAAATGTTACACTTTTAGTTTAGACTGAAAATGATTTTAAAAGTGCTCAATAACAGTTAAACAAGGAATTGGTGCCACTTAGAAGATCTATTAACAGAGCTATTAACAGATCAGAAGGAAAAACATCCATTCTAATATAAGCTTGACATTGAATAAAAAGAAGTAAATGCTGACCCCTAGAGGATATCTCTGCAATTGCAATCGCACACCCACCCCAGCTCCGTGAATGGGGAAAACATCGCAAAAGTCACGTGACAGCAACATGATGCTGTGAATTTGACACCCATGCTCTAGACCTTCAGGCATTAGACTCACATTGAGAGTACTAAAATAATATAAAACCCAATACATAATGCAAAGAATAATGAAAAAATGTAACCTTTTAACATCAAACTGTTTAAGCAACAAATATTTCAGTTCACAGTAAAACTATGCTATTTATTAAGCTGGTAAACGTATAAAATCAAATCACCTCTGATTGGAAAAGGAATGTTGTAAAATTGTTCAGCAATAACAAGCCAGTTCTCTTAATCTTATTTCATGATCCTCCATGTGAGGACATTGGTCACTGTACCATCAACAACTACCACTTTTTATAATAGCAACCCTGATTTAGTCCTGTACTTAGCTGAACAAAGAGAGGGTTGAAGCCATGTGAAGAACCACACATTGCCACTGGCTCTTCCTCTCTCTCACCTCTACTTCAAAACATATACTCAGAGAACCCAGATACAACACAGTCCATTGACCCCAACTTTTATTATTGGAGCCCTGAATCCTGCAGAGATGGATAAGCATTCAGAGTAACACACAGCCTGCTATTGTCTCGCCTGCTGCCAATCTTAGCAACCTTTGTCTACTTGAGGTACAAAAGCAAAGCTTTGCTTACAAGTCCCATTGTTACTAATAACTTTTTCTCAAAAGTCCCAGAAATATTAGGAAGCAATACAATATTAGATACAATATTCTAAACTATATACTAACATAAATAGCTCTATACTACAAGTTGCAACTTACATGAAGCATCCCTGCAAGTTTTGATGTATAACCTCGGGGTCTTTCTTTATCTTTAAATCTGAATGCTACAGCATTTAGATCCTAGCAAAAGAAAGAAAATAAAATACTCTTGGAGATACAGATTAATATTTTAAACAACAGAAAATTCTTCTTAAATATGATTTACGGTAGTTTGATTTCTAATATTCAGAATTAATCACATGAATGGAGCTGGAAGACTGCTTACGTTATTATGAATGTTCCAGAGTGCATAAAAATATGATTCTTTGCATTATATGGATACAAAGAAAACATCTCATCAATAATAATGATAAATAAATACGAGGTTTGAAGTGCAAGTTATTTTAAAGCTGAAATAAACACATGGAACCAATTCTCTGAATCACCTAAAAAAGTACTATTTTTCAGAATTAAAATAGGATCATTAACAGTTTGATAAACTATATGTATATTTATATAAATACCATTTTCTGGAAAAATATTATTTCATTATTATTTTTGTCTTCCTCAATTCTGGGCACTTCTGAGAACTATGGCCATTGCTAAAAATTCTTGGATTTTAAATCCAAACATCTGGAAGGCATTTAGGTTGGAGAAGGCTGTATTAGTTTATTAATACAGAACAGCTACCTAAAATAGTTACATAAAATATTACTTGGGAAAATGTTTCAAAATAGTTATGTCTATATATGACAGTCACTCGTTCAGACTATGTTTATAGGAATATCCAAACTAATGTATGGGTAACCACCATTGAATTCAGTAGGGTTTACTATATATTTGCTTAGGTTATACTTACTGAGCTCAGGTTTTCACAAATAAATTCTTTCTCTGGATATATGAGCATTTTTTAATATGAGATAATAGTAATAGTTATTCAGTTAATTTTTTTTGCCCTGGCTGTGATCTCTGGCCAGATCTCTGACAATCCTTATTGACAAAGATAGTATTCTTGGGCAACATGTTGACAAGTTGCCTTGTCTTAACTGCTGCCACAATAAATGTGGTTATCAGATAGTGGCTTCAAGATTTGAGGCTAAAAGTAAAAACAGGGTATATAATACATCTGTTCTACTAGGGAAACTTAATAAAAGGGGAAAATCTAATGCCCTGTTGAAGATCCTTATACTGTAAGAGTTACAATAGTAAACGACATGTTAGATTGATCAATTTCCCTGGAATCGCCAGTCAAAAGTGCTGACACAGGAAAGTTGGCATTGCTGATAAATAATGTTGTGAATAGGAGGAGGCTGTTGTTGGCCCTGAAAAGGTCCTTTCTCAAGGTAGAAGAAGATACTTGCAGATTCCCATTTCTGGGCTGCTTTCAGGGCTCAAGAGAGGGAATTAAGTTTGGAATGACACTCCATGTCATCCAACTTTTGTATTACCAGTTTTTTTTAGCTGAGCATTGTCTGAATTTGTAAGGAATCTAGAGGCACTCCAGATCTTCTTAAATTTTTGCTCTATTACTTCTTTTCACAGTGAAATTTAATTTTTAATAAAGATTGCCTGTAGCAACACTGTAGGGGGGAAAATCGGATCTTTAACCAGTATGCCACCAATACTCTCCATGCTCCAGTACAATTTTGGACACTGCAGACTCAAGCCTGATACTATCTTGGGGATATCACATGGTGCCATAAAAACCTTTAAAAACTTAGTGTGTATTGTCTCTAAGTGTCTTTTTCTTCATATATAAGCCCTCTGAGCTGTGTAGAATATTTGGGCTAATGTTTTAGCTTCAAAAAGCTTTAATACTGGACATGACATATCAATTCACCTCCTTGGGAATAAAAAAAAACTTTTAATAGCCCTTGTAGATTTTGATGTTACTTGATTAATATTCTATTCATGATAGGTTTTCTAAGATTCACTATCATGAAATGCCAAACCAAAATGTTTAAGGTACCTGTTCAAATGATAGACTTTTATTATTCTCCTTAAGCCTTAAGCTTATTATTCTCCTTAAGCTAATAGAAAATAATTTCGTAAAGACATCTTACCTTACATTCTTGAAAAACCCATTCTTGAGGTCCTTCTGTGCGTAACTTTTGAATATATTGAAACATATGCAAAATAATATCTTCCACATGTACTGTACAAGAAAAGAATACAGGATTTTTAGTTTTGTCAGGTTAAAGCAAAAGTGGTACCAAAGTTCTAGAATTACAACTCCCATATGATGTTGTTAATGTACAGGCAATCCACAATTTACAACCACAACTAGGACCAGAATTTCCATCATAAAATAATGCAGTTGGAAAATGTAATGTCACATTATTGTATTACTCAGTGTTGGAAATCCTGGCAGTTGTCATAACCTCAGATGCGCAAATCTGGAAGTGGAGAGAGTCCAAGTAAGGAAGACAGGTGTGCAGCAGTGGGATTGGGGAGGCCTTGGGAGGCCTGATGCAGTTTATGTGCGAATTGGGGGATGCTGTAGTGTAGCACAAGCTCAGGAAGGCTAGGGAAAGAAGGTGTATGCATGCATGCATAGCTTCAGATAGTTTTCAAACCAATTTGATTATCAGGAGCTGTTTTACTTTATAACTGCCAGCAGTATTTAGAACAGGGGTGTCCAATCTTCTGGATTTCAACTCACAAAATTGAATGGCTGGCTGGGTCATTCTGGGAGTTGAAGTTCAGAGGTCTTAAGGTTGCCAGGTTTGGATACTGCTGATTTAGAACATGAGGAATTATCACATTTGTAAGATCAGGAAAAAGCACACAGAACTGTTAGCAGCATTCTGAAAAATAAGAAAATCCTTCTTGCTATAGTACAGGTAATCCACAACTTATGACCACAATTGAGCCCCAAAGTTCCACTGTTAAGGAAGGCAGTTGTTAAGTGAATTTTGCCCCATTTTATGACCTATATGCTACATTTGTTAACAATTGAATCACTGCAATTATTAAGTGAATCAAGCGGTCATTAAATGAATCTTGTTTTCCCTGTTGATTTTGCTTGTTGGATGATCACATGAACCTGGGACAATCAATGCAACTGTCATAAATACATTGCCAGTTGCCAAGCACTCAAATTTTGATTATGTGACCATGAGGATGATACAGATGATGTGAATGTGAAAACCAGTCATGTCACTTTTTTCACTGCTGTCATTAACTTTGAACAGTCACTAAACGAATGGTTGTAAGTCAAGGACTACCTGTCTCTATGAAACTGAATGTGAGTAAAGCCTTTTAAATGTTTACATTTTACTACACTACAGAATATTTTTCACAGTGGGATACACAAAAGGTCTTATAAAAGAAGTGACATTTAAATGATATTTAAGCCCTAGCATAGCAAAATGATTGAAGGGATCTACTTACACAGTCCTTCTTCAGTAAGATCAACATTAATGATAAAAAACATAAAGCCTCGAGCACCTTCTTTCTGTCCACCAACCAGTGTGCTTACCCAGCCTATGATAAAAGCATATAATACATACAATATTGTTTGCATTTTTAAAAAAGTTATATTATTTTTAAGCAAACACTGATAATTTATGTATTTTTGGTTAACAGCCTTCACATTATGACAGAATATCATAAATGGAACTCATAAAATGTGGCCGTTAGAGATAATGAATTTCCAGAAATTTTGTAGCCATAACACTTCTATAATGACAGATGAGCCAATTTTGTCACTGCGTTTTTTGTATTTGTCAGCTGGGCTCCCATTCTGAGACTTACGGTAGACTGACTCTTATCTCTGAAGCTACTGCGCATGTCCACATTCTTTCACTTTCTTCTAACTTTCTTTGTTCGCCTGCCAAGAGGTAAGGCAGGAACGCTGCCAAGATATAATTAATTAGCTAGCTACTTCTTTATAATAAAATGTGTTTTATTAGAATATATCTCGGGTTTTATTTTCTTTAAAAGTATTCTCAAAGGAAAAGCCACGATCCGTCTCTAATTAAGGTGCAATTACCCCAAAGCGGAATGGGATTACCGTATTTTCCGGCGTATAAGACGACTGGGCGTATAAGACGACCCCCAAATTTTCCTGTTAAAATATAGAGTTTGGGCTATACTCGCCGTATAAGACTACTCCTCTTCCAACGCACACCAAATAAAAATTAAAAAAACATCAACTGGCTCACCCACAATGTAAAAGCAGCTGTGCTAGACCCAAAATGGCCCCTGAAACAAGCAGGAACCTCACACAGCCACAAAAAGCCCCAAAAAACAACTTTCACACTTTACACACACACAACACAACACAACACAACTGGCTCATCCACAATGTAAAAGTAGCTGTGCTAGACCCAAAATGGCCCCTGCAACAAGCAGGAACTTCACACAGCCACAAAAAGCCCAAAAACCCAACTTTCACACTTTACACACACAAAATTCCACATACAGCTTTGTGAGATTTTGTGTGTTTGTGTAGTTAGAGTGAAACACTACAGAAACACACTAAATCTCAGAAAGCTGCACAAATATTATTTTATTTTATTTTATTTTTCTTTTTATATGAAAGCTAAATTTAAAACTTCCTAAACTTTAAATGGCTAGGTCTAAAAAAGAACTAAAAAAAACCCCAATTAACTATTTTTTTTTTAAAGATCCCAAAGGGGAAAAAAACTTACCATACCCAATAGAACAGGGGTCTCCAACCTTGGCAACTTTAAGACTTGTAGACTTCAACTCCCAAAATTCCTCAGCCAGCTTTGTTTTGCTGGCTGAGGAATTCTGGGAGTTGAAGTCCACAACTCCCTGCCTGCTTGGTTGCAGGCAGGGAGTTGCTTGCTGATGGAATGGATTCAGGCAAGCGAAGCAAGGCAAGCAGCTAAGGCAGTGGTTCTCAACCTTCCTAATGCCGCGACCCTTTAATACAGTTCCTCATGTTGTGGTGACCCCCAACGATAAAGTTATTCCTAAAACCATCAAAAATATGTGTTTTCCGATGGTCTTAGGCCAGGGGTCCCCAACCTTTTGGACCTCAGGGACCACCAACTTCATAATTTTAAATTTCGCAGACCACTAATACGAATCCAGTGCCCCGCTTGCTGAAGCACCTGGACTCCCAGTACGGGATGGGGTCCTTCAGGCACTCTCCATCCTCTCTGTCTCTCTCTCTCTGTCTCCCACTCTTTCTCTCTCATTCTCTCTTTCTCTCTCTCTCTCCCTCTCTTTCTCTCCCACTCTTTCTCATTCTCTCTTTCTCTCTCGCCCCTCTCTCATTCTCTTTCTCTCTCCCCCTCTTTCTCATTCTTTCTTTCCCCCACTCTTTCTCTTTCTCTCCCCTCTTTCTCATTCTTTCTCTCTCTCCCACTTTCTCTCTCATTCTTTCTCCCCCCTCTTTCTCTCTCTTTCTCCCACTCTCTTTCTCTCTTTCTCTCCCCCCCACACTCTCTCTCATTCTCTTTCTCTCTGTCCCCCTTTCTCTCTTCCCCCCACTCTTTCTCTTTCTCCCTCCCCCTTTCTCTTTCTCTCTCTCCCACTCTTTCTCTCTCATTCTTTCTCTCTCCCCCTCTTTCTCTCTCTCTCCCCACTCTCTCCCTCTCATTCTGATTCTCTCATTCTGATTCTCTTTCATTTTCTCTCCCTCTCTCTCATTCTCTCTCTGATTCTTTGGTTCTCTTTGATTCTGTCTCTTTCTCTGTCTCTCATTCTCTCTCTCTCACTCTCTGATTCTCTCTGTCTCTTTCTCTCATTCTCTTTCATTCTGTCTTTCTCTATCTTTCATTCTTTGTCTCTTTCTCTCTCTGTCTCATTCTGATTCTCACTCTCTCATTCTCTCTTTCATTCTTTGTCTCTTTCTCTCTCTGTCTCATTCTGATTCTCATCTTTCATTCTTTGTCTCTTTCTCTCTCTGTCTCATTCTGATTCTCTCTCTTTCTCTCTCATTCTCTCTCTCTCTCATCTCATGGGCCAGCCAGTGTCTTGGGGCTCAGAGGAAGTCAAGCATTTCCCTGAGAGACTGAGGGCCGGAAGAAGTGTGGGAGCGAAGCACTACTTGAACTTGTGCGGCATGAGCATTCGCCTTGGTATATTTGCGCCAGCCGATGGCCAAGGCAGCCCTCATCTGTCTGCTGAAAGTGCAGCATCAGGATTCTGCCTTGCTATATTTGCGGTGCAAGGCAGCCTTTGTTTCTGCTGCTGCCTGCTTGGGTCTAGCGGTAAATAGCGTCTGATCCGGAGAGCAGCTGGATTTTGCTCTCTAATCTGGATGCCAGATCGGCCCATCAAACTCTCGTCTCTCGAGGAGCGCTCCCTGAAGCGGGCTGGAAACTTTGGTTGGACTGCTTGAGAGAGGAGAGCTTGCAGGGGGGCGATCTGGTGTCTGCAATGGAGAGCGGCATCCGGCTTTTTCTCTCTGCTGTAAGAGCGCTGTAAGAGCGGCAGCCCTCATCTCCTAATGCTTGGGACTGCAAAATCCAGCTGCTCCCCGGACCAGTCACCATTTACCACTCCGAGTCCCAAGCATTAGGAGATGAGGGCTGCCGCTCTTACAGCGCTCTTACAGCGGAGAGAAAAAGCTGGATTTTGCTCTCCATTGCAGACACCAGATCGCCCCCCTGCAAGCTCTCCTCTCTCAAGCAGTCCAACCAAAGTTCCCAGCCCCGCTTCAGGGAGCGCTCCTCGAGAGACGAGATCTTGCAGGGGGCCGATCTGGCATCCAGATTAGAGAGCAAAATCCAGCAGCTCTCCAGATCAGACGCCATTTACCACTCCGAGTCCCAAGCATTAGGAGATGAGGGCTGCCGCTCTTACAGCGCTCTTACAGTGGAGAGAAAAAGCCAGATGCCGCTCTTATAGCGGAGAGAAAAAGCTGGATTTTGCTCTCCATTGCAGACACCAGATCGCCCCCCTGCAAGCTCTCCTCTCTCAAGCAGTCCAACCAAAGTTCCCAGCCCCGCTTCAGGGAGCGCTCCTTGAGAGACGAGAGTTTGCAGGGAGCCGATCTGGCATCCAGATTAGAGAGCAAAATCCAGCAGCTCTCCGGATCAGACGCCATTTACCACTCTGAGTCCCAGGCAGCAGGAAACAAAGGCTGCCTTGCGCCACTCCTGACACAAATATACCAAGGCGGAATGCTGCTGCCGTACAAATGAAAGTAGTGCTTCACTCCCACAGCTTCCAGCCATCGCAAACGCCGCTTCTTCCCGCTTCTGCCGCCCCCTCCCCCACCGCCACAACAGCACCATTCATTCCGGATGGCGAGGGCTGCGCTCGTTTTTCTGTATTGCACCACCATCAAAACCCCTGTGAAAGGGTTGTTTGACCCCCAACCACTGAGCTAAGGTAAGCAAGCTGGAGGGGGAAAAGTTTTTTCTTCTCCATGGCTCTGGCGATCCCAGCTGAATTGCCTGATTAGCAGGCAAAGCTGGGATCGTCAGAGCTGGGATCGCCAGAGCCATTTAAGGCTCGTCAGAGCCTTTCGGGCTGGTCTGCCTGGTTACAGGAGAACGACACCCGGCGTATAAGACGACCCCCGACTTTTGAGAAGATTTTCATGTGTTAAAAAGTCGTCTTATACGCCGGAAAATACGGTAATTGCCACCCTGACAAATTTTGAATATGAAATATATGTTCTGAAGTTAAGGCAAATCCAAACATGAACATTAAGACACTTAGTTTTTAAAAAATATTATGTGCAGTATTCCTTTGGCATCTATAGAGTTAAAATGTCCACCACATTTAAACAAATAGAAATCTGATTTAATATACTTTAAAATGTTTTAAACTATTTCACAAACAAAAACTTGTTTAAGAAAAACAAGAACGCAAAAAGTGAAACAGAAGAAATCAGCTTGGTTGTAGTGTAATTCAAGAAGCTCTACAGCATATTGTATGTTTAGTCTTCTACTAATATATCAAAAAAAAAAAAATTAAGAGGGAATCAAGGCATAGAAATTTTGCTACATGAAATTTTGACAAACTTAATTTGTCAAAGCATCAACCACTCATCCTTCCGAGATTGGATGGAATCAATTGTTGGAGACAATATGCTGACATTTGTAAACCGCTCTAAGAGTGCTGTAAAGCACTATGGAGCAATATATACCGTAAGTCTAAATGCTATTGCAATTAGTTTAAGACTTCTATCGTGTTCATGGGATTTTAGAGAATCAGCATTTGCCTGAACTGGGACAAGCTTGCCTCCTTTTCAGATGTTCATTTCTTTTTTTGAACCATTGTATTTCCCAAAAAATAACCAATTGCTTTCACAATACTTTGTGAATTACTTTAAATCAAAATATTACAAAATACTTTATTATCCTTTTCCCCCACCTTTTGCCATTTTAAAAAATACACAAAAGTTTTCTTTAGATATAGACACATTTAACTATGCTATACATGTATTAGATTATGTGATCTGCAACAATAACCACTGCATAGATGCATAAAATTTTACAATTGATTTGTTGTTTATAATTTTTCATTTGACAGATAAAATAATATATATAATTGTGTCTTATAACACAGTAAAGAAAGACTTCAAACAACATAAGGCTCCAAGAATCAATTCTTAACAGTGAGTGAGAACAGCTTGTTTTACCAAATGTTTTTTAAACAACCATCTGTGGATTCCCATATTTGTCCTACACCTGCACAAAAATTTAATTGGAAATTTTAAACCAAAAGTCTATCCTTCTGAGTACACTTTAAGAAGAAATGTTGGCTTTCCTCTCGGTTACCTAGGATAACACAGCCCTGCAATCAGGGATTAACTGAGATGTGTGTGTGCACAGGAAGAAATAATTTTTTTTTTTTTAATTTGATTTATATGCCGCCCTTCTCCGGAGACTCAGGGTGGCTTACAATGTGCTAAGCAATAGCCTTCATCCTTTTGTATATTTATACAAAGTCAGCTTATTGCCCCCACAACTGGGTCCTCAATTTACCTACCTTAGAAAGGATGGAAGGCTGAGTCAACCTTGAGCCTTGGCGAGATTCGAACCTGCAGTAATTGCAGGCAGCTGGTCTTAATAATAGGGTGCTTTAGACCACTGTACTACCAAGGCTCTTATTTTCTAGGAACATTGTTTAAAAATAAATAACTGAAGATATATGTTGTGAATGGTTTGAAGAATTCTGTGCTTTGAAGGAAATACATTACATATTGGCAGGTTATGTTATCAAATCCATTCAGGAAATATTTCATCATTGGATAAGAAAACATGGAATGGTGTCTACTATTTTGTGCACAGCAAAAAAAAAATGCTTTTACAGAAGAAAATTCTAAGTTGCTAAGAGACAGCAACATTTGTATGTACATCTGTAAAATGTACGAAACAGCCAGCTATGGAAAAAGCAAAGCTGAAAAAATAAATACTTATTATGATACCATGCTATAATGTCAAATATGGTTTATATGACGTGGCACTAAAGGATGAACTCAAAAATTTAAGGTGCCTTTATTACAGTTTGAAGTTGAAGACAACTGATATGCATGTTCCTCAGAAATATGATGATTTTACTTTACCCTTAGGAACCAAGGATATCATGGCATTTGTATATTTTTGTCTGATCAACTTGTCTGATCCTGGTCCCTTCTAAATCATATAATTTTGCACGTAGTTTCTTCAGTCTTGGCAGATCTTATCTATGGAGAATTGATTTTTCTATTTTTAAATTGTAGAAATCTACGGAGTTCCTGGATATGGATGATTTAGAAGCTCCTTAAATTTTTTTTTCTTTCACTGTTCTCCTTATAACAATAGAAGTCAAAGATATTATCAGATATTATCAATTTAAAAAGTGTTATCATCAATAGGTGGTATATATGTTTTTGTCAGTACTTTCATAAGCTAAAATCCATTTTTAGTCCTCTTTTCCTTGATTATTTTAATTCTGTTACTTTCATCCAATACATTTCCATAACTAAATCAGCCAGATTTAAATTGGCCTCATTTCCAGAATTCAATGACATTAGAAAGTTTCTGAAAGAGTCCTGTATTATAAAACTCAGCATGGTGTTAAGTGTGATGCCACTGATGAGGGAGCCAAAACTGCAACTAGTCATATGATATTTGATCAGTGTTCTTCAAGCTGCAGGCCATCGCAAAGATGTTATTGCCAGTTCTTTATATTCAAGAAGATGGGGAAGGAGCATTAATACTTTCCTAGAAGAAAAGCTGACTGTCCCCTAATCAAGATTGTTGAACTACAATGCAGAAAAAGGGCAGAAGGCTAGGACGACATTATCTCGCTGCATTCAATATTAGATATATTTATCATTACATCTATTTCCTTTTGGTCCTGTGAAGCTCCAAGAATGGAACTCAGCAAATTCTCTATCTTGATATTAAAATATAAATGAATATCTTATTTTGCTCTAAAAGGGAGAGCCACAACACCACATTTTAGCTATAGGCAGATTTTGAAAAAGCCAGGGTTCTTAGTATTAGGAAAAGTAAAATCAAAACCAGACTAGGAAGGCAGATACAATTAATAGTAGGAAAATCAAAGTGTTGATGATGGATGACTAAAGTACTTCTGCCTTTTTCTTTTAGAAATATCAAACCCATGTGCAGGAAGAACCTTTCGCTTCTTCAGTTTGTTTTCTGGTAAGGCAAAGCACCTATTGATCAACTTACTATAGGCAAGCAAAGTCCTACAGAGGGAGTGAGAACCATCTAAATGATTCTGCACGAATCTGTTGATATACAGGATGCCTCTAATAACTGGGCCACAATTAATGGAAGTTTGGAGCGAATCAAGATAAGCGTAAGAATATTTGCTGAGGAATGTGATTATTCAATAATCATAAATAACATTTCCCAAGGAAGTGCTCTCAGAAGAAGATTGATTGCATCAGGCTTGATTAATCCATTTTTGAGAGCGGACACAAATTTAATATTCTGACAGCCAGTCAAACATATTAAGCATAGAAATTTGCCTATTTGTGGACAAGGAATGTCAATTAGAAAGATACAAGTAAGCTTTTGAAAGCTTTTTTGGTGGATCCTAGTCTCTTCTTTTAATACTTCTAGACCTCTGTTAATACTTCTCAAACTATAGACCCTACCCAAGGGCAAGAGTGATAAAATGTGTTTAGATCATGAAGGCAGAATGCAGAAGCATTTTCACAATAACAAGTTTAATGCAAGTAGCACATCAGCTAATTTTGAATGACCTTACCTTTAGCTTTCAGTTCTGATAAAAGACTTCCTGGACCTTCATGCCCAATAAGGTGACCAAGATAGTGGCCAGGATTTGATTTGTAGTACTTTTGAAGATCTGGTATTGGAAATGTAACATAAAGATTTCTAAAATCTTTAATAGGTACCACCTTGTAAAGTTGCTGTAAAATTTCAAAAAGAAAACAGGAAAGCCTTATTTAATTTTTTTAATCATTGTAAGATAAAGATTAAAGATAACTTTAGGAACAGTTCCTATAATTTCCAGAAGTAGATGGTTAAACTTGCACACAACCATCTCTGAAAATCATAAGATTTTCAGAGAATATCCAGTACTATCTTGTTCCATCTACTGTTTAATAAAAGTGTAATCTTGAAAGTTTCAAACCCACCCGGAGATGTTCTTCCTGGAAGGGATGCTCAGGGAATTCCGGTATTGGAACATTTTTATTCTTCACTTCAGAAAATAACTTCACCACCAGTTTGGTTAGTTCATCTAAAGTTTCTGCAAAAAAGAATGAAAAGAAATCACTAATAGCACTAACAGCAGCATTACTTACTCCAGGTCCTTTAAGTGTGTTGGATTTTAATTTCCAGAATTCTCGCCTGTTGGGAATTCTGATAATATAACTGTTATACATTAGAAGGTATCTTATTGGAAAAATATACAAAATAAGATCATTTATAGACTTCTTAACCTATGTTTTCAACGAGCCGTAGGAGGCTATCTTTTAACCACATATCTAAAAACTTATTGTACATATTTCTTATTGCATAAATTCTATATCCAGAATCCAGTCAGTGTATTTTACAGTGCATAATAAAAATAAAATCAGATCTCAAGAAGGAAGGAGGGATGTTAAGGAAAAAAAACCACAGAATTTAAAATGTTCATATAACATCAAGACCACCTATTAAGAGTACATATACAAACTCTTAGAATGACACAGAGACAGAACAAACCAAAAACTGTATGATGAAATGGAGGCGAAACTTCCAAACACACTACACAGGATGGTGAACACTTTATAGTTTCACTTTTAAAGGGGTCTGAATGTCTACAAATATTGCAATGATTAATGAATGTAAAAAAAGGTGCAAATGAGAAACCAATAGTAATATATTTTATTATTATTATCCTTTTTCTTTTCTTTTTTTACTTTTCAGATATTTTATCTTTATTAAATTTGATTTGCCTATCTTTTTTCCTTTTATTAATCTATATCTATAATATAACAATACAACAGAAATTTTAATAAGTAATTTGTTTAAATGACTTTAGATTAAAACTATTACATTAGATTAATAATCACAATAACAATACTTTGATGTGAGTGCAGTGGTTCTTGATTAACATGAAAAACCGAATAGTTTTACACTTATAATGTTGATATTCTAAATTTTACTGAATATTGACAGAATTGTTTCTTTCCTTTCCCTATTTTCAATACTTTAAGCTACCCAATTAATACAATGTTAATAATCTCATATAAACATCGCTGTATTGAAACAATACAATGAATCATGATTGATAATCATACACTAAAATTGGTTTTTTTTAAAAAATGATGATGTGACATGAATTTAGAGAAAGAGCAGTAATGGTAATAGCCACAGAAGGCAGAAAAGAATAAATCTGCAAAATAATAGAGTGCTTTGCATCCGTGTTCTAATATTTTTATGTTATAACCAGGAATGTGATTTTTATTTTACTCCTGAACATGAAGATTGCCTTTCTTTAATTTCCTAAATGTTTTATTATTATATAAAATATTAATAACATTTAAATATTTCAAAATGATTCTCTCAATGCTTGCCATTCTTACCCCGTCCTAAAACACAAACAGCCATTAAATTTGATGAATAGTAAGTGGAGTGAAACTTCAAAAGCTCTTGCCTTACATCTATTCCGTCTTGGTTTGGTCTAGTTTCCAAAGTGTACTTGTTCCCTATAAAGCGAGAGTAAAATAAAAGATGCATTAAGAGAAAAAAAGTTCTAGCAGAGAAAGAGGCATATATTCTCATAAACTGTACAATCATATGGGAAGTTGATGAGTATATTTTTCAGAAGATCATCCCATAAGCCTGGGTATCTCATGGTCAATAGGCATGGAGTTCCTATGCAAGTTTCCCCTAAAATCGTGGTGGTTCTGTTAGGTGCATTAAATTTATGTGATATGAATTGGGAAAAATAATTTGTAACTCGAAATGTAGCACTCAATTTTTCACCAACAGAAAATAATAGAGATCTTGCAGTGATCACTACATTACTCATAGAGATCATTAATTAGCATCCTCAAACCCAGATGGAAGAAAAAGTATGATGCACGTATCATGTCAATCAGTCTTCCTAATTCAAAAAAAACATGGTTTATTAAAGCAAACAAGAAGAAATTGGCTAATGTTTCCTTTTTATGTAGGCAAACCCTAGTTTGTTAAGCATATTTATCAGGGTATATGAACTGTGAACCTATTGTTAAGTGTTCACTAAAAATCGAGATCAAGCTATGCTTTGTGATCCTAATGTGTTGAGAAAATTTGTACCTATAATTTGGTAATTTCAATATTTATTTATTGGATTTTGATACTGCCTGACTCCAAAAGCACTCTGAATGGTTTAGGCTTTTTTTAAAAAAAACACTTAAAAGATATAGGACCACCTGGACAAAGCCGTGGTTCCACCTTAGGCCCAATACCCTTCAATATCTTCATAAATGACTTAGATGAAGGAATAGAAGGGGAACTCATCAAATTTGCAGATGACGCTAAGCTGGCAGGAATAGCAAACATCCCAGAAAAGCTCACAAGACCATGCCTGGAATACTGCATCCAGTTTTGGTCACCACATTACAAAAAAGATGCTGAGACTTTGGAAAAAGGGCAGAGAAGAGCAACTAAGATGATTAAAGGCCTAGAGACTAAAACATATTAAGAATGGCTGCAGGAATTGGGTCTGGCTAGTCTAGAGAAAAGAAGGACTAGGAGTGATATGATATCAGTATTCCAGTATTTTAGGAGCTGCCACAAAGAAGAGACTGTCAACTTATTTTCCAGCACCAGAAGGCAAAACAAGAAAAAATGGATGGATACTAATCAAGGAGAAGCAACCTGGAATTAAGGAGGAACTTCCTAACAGCGAGGACAATTAACCAGTGGAACAGCTTGCCTTCAGAAGTTGTGGATGCTTCATCCCTGGAGGCTTTTAAGAAGAGACTGGACAGCCACTTGTCTGAAATGATATGGGGTCTCCCGTTTGAGCAGGTGGTTGGACTAGAAGACCTCCAAAGTTCCTTTCAGCTCTATTCTGACAAGTCAGTTCTATTGCTGAATCAAGGAAATTTAATTACCATAATTCTAAAGGCTGCATCATCAATAAGATTCTACAACATATGCCATATATTTTTATTTGCATGATAGCTGAATGTTTAGAAATATGAGGAATCATATCCTCATAGTGAAGTAGACCAAATAATGTAAAATTGCATTCTTAATTACCTGTCCCAAATTTGCTAAATGGGTGGTTAGGATTTCCAGTAGCCTTTTCTAGCTGAAATAGTCTCCATGAATCATTCATTAAATTCTTCTCGTGCTCAGAATCAACAGCATTTACTTCTCTATCTTTGCAGCTTTCGTCAAAAAGAGGGCCCAAGAAAAATTGGGCAAACCTATACAAAGGAAGTCCCATATTTTCCAAATTAATGTACTGAAATACAACAACATTTTTAAAGTTTAAAATAACATATATAAGTATGGAAGTATACAACATGGCTTTAGATTTTCGTTCAGGATGGATAACTTTAGTTCATCCTTGATTTTTACCTCTGCTTATGTCTCTATTAATTTACTCAATTGGACCACTGCAGCTGTAAATCACAGTAAGCTCCATTGTAATTCACTTTGTGGAACACAAATTATTATCTATTTAAGAATTTAAGTTACGTTAGAATGGAATGGGATGGGCCTTTGCAACCCACATGGAGCATCCCAGCATACATTTAATGAAAAAAGGACCTGGGTGACATACAAAAAATGGCCTGCGTGAAAGATATCCCCAGCTGGGCCACCATGAAAAGACTGTCCTTTTGTGTACCAGCCAGGTGTGTACCAGCCAGGTGTGTTGCCCAAAAGAACAACTCAGCCCAAGTGCAAAAGGGGACCTGGTTGGCACACAAAAGGAAGTTTTGACAGGTGCAGCACACACCCATCCACCTGTAGCTCTCATCTGACAATTTTTGGGACATTTCCATAGCATCTTCTCCACGTGAACCCAGTGGAGACAGGAATGTGGTCAAAAATGTGGATGGGCCCAAATTTTGCTCTCATATAATTTTAATGTTATTTCAGGATTACTTCAGAAAAGCAGAAATAATCCAAACTCCATAGAGGCTGTCCCTTTATTAGATTAAATGAATTTGTACAAATTGTGAAGTTTTAAAAAAATTTCACTCTGCAACTTGGTAAAGAAAGCAAAAAGGATGAAGCAAATTATGAAGTAATTCATTCTGTATTAGTTTACCTTGTAAAATATAATGGTATTTCATACATACAAAGTTGAATTTAGCAACTGCAGATTAGTTTCATATCAATATTTTCCCAAAACTTATTATGAAGAAGAAACATCAAACATTTCTAAGTTTTCAGATTTGAAAACCTAAATCCCTGTTGTCAGAATCAAAGTAGCTTCTATCCTATTTGTAGACGCATAAAACCTGACCAGTTGAAAAACCAGAAAGCAATATTGAAATATATATAATAGCAAACCTGGGATTATTTGGGGTTGATTTTTTTATCTAACAAAAGTCAATAAAAATTAAACTAGACAGGGTTGCCTAGTGATAGAACACAATCTTGAGTAAAGATATCTTCCACAGTCCATATGAGAGCTTCTTGTAGTAACACTAAATTTAATATTGCAGGATCCAATTTGAGTCGGTCACTGGGACCAAAATATTATTCTTCCAAACTTTAGGGCTTGTACTGGAGCCCATCCTCCCATCCTTACGAGAATGAGCTTCAGCACATGCCTGAAAGCTTGGAATAATAAACGTTTGGTTCTGGTGATCAAGTCAGATTGGATCCTGCAACATTATCTTGGGATACATATATTTTCCTTCAATATTTTGCAAATATTGAATTTGCAAAATTCAATATTTTCCAAGTTGCATGAAAAGAAATTATAACTATATTCACTTAAAATTTCAACTGGCCTAATAAAGGTTATGCTAGAAGTAGAGTACATTAAGTACAACTTTTATTCCAAGTAAAAATCACACAGTGGTTAACAATATACTTGCTGAATAATTATGATATGCTTACCTATCAAGAGCACCTTCTAAGTGTTCATGTGAGACATCAAAATAGTAGTTGGTGTGTTCTCCACTGGTAAAAGCATTTGAACTCCCTCCATGTTCACTGAGAAATTGGCTGTACTCATTTTCTTTTGGGAATTTTTTAGTTCCCAAAAATAACATATGTTCACAAAAATGGCTTAATCCAGGAATATTAATGGGATCAGATAACGACCCTTGTGGAGAGAAAAAATATATAACAAGCCATTATAAATGTTTAAGTTTTATTGAAGAAATACTACCAAACTTTTACAATTAGACTGATTTTTTTAAAACAGGAGAGTTGTAATTAAATCAATGTGGTATAAGAAACTATTTATTTCAAAAAAGATCAACATATGAAATCAATTAAGTAGATTTATTTACTCTGTAGCTAAGTCATGCAAGATATATGAGCTACTACACAATATTTGATTAAATACCTATGTGCACATCAAGTGTAGCTGAAGATTTGTCAGTAGTGGGATCACTGATAAGCATTGCTTTGATGCCATTTGCCAGTTCTAATCCACGATATTCTCGTTTATCTTCAGGTGATTTGATAATTTCATTTGTTATTCTTTTGATAGCAAGATCATTCATTTTGTAGTATGTTTCTTGTGGAAGCCTAAAGAAAACAGGAAGGATATCAGGAAAAGTTGAATTCAAATAATTTAAGATAATATTACGAATGTAAGAGTGACATCAGGCTAATTCAGCAGTCTGTTCTTACGAGAGTTAACCAATTACACAAGAAAATCCACTAATCTCCCAAGAGATGGCCTTCAGAGGCATTCATGCTATCACCACAGGCTAATAGCATTGATCCCCATTATTTCGATTTATGAGGTCCAGTCCTTTTTGAAGTCAGCCAAGCTAGTAGCCAGCACCGCAAACTCTGATAAATACATTACTACAACTTCCAAATACAGTTCCAGATAGAATAGAATAGAATTCTTTATTGGCCAAGTGTGATTGGACACACAAGGAATTTGTCTTTGGTGCATATGCTCTCAGTGTACATAAAAAGACAAGATACACTCGTCAAGAATCACAGGCCACAACACCCAGCGACAGTCATATGGTACAATAAGCAATCAAATCATACTAGGAAACAATCAATATCAATATAAATCGCAAGGATACAAGCAACAAAGTTACAGTCATGCAGTCACAAGTGGGAGGAGATGGGCGACAAGAGCAATGAGAAGACCAATAGCAATAGTAATGCAGTCTAATGTGAATAGTTTGACAATGTGTTGAGGAAATTATTTGTTTAGCAGAGTGATGGCGTTCGGGAAAAAACTGTTCTTGTATCTAGTTGTCTTGGTGTGCAGTGCTCTATACCGTCGTTTTGAGGCTAGGAGTTGAAACAATTTATGTCCAGGATGTGAGGGGTCTGTAAATATTTTCACAGCCCTCTTTTTGACTCGTGCAGTATACACGTCCTCAATAGAAGGCAGGTTGGTAGTAATTGTTTTTTCTGCAGTTCTAATTATCCTCTGAACTCTGTGACTGTCTTGTTGGGTTGCAGAATCAAACCAGAGAGTTATAGAGGTGCAGATGAAAGACAATAGTTCCTCTACAGAACTGTATCAACAGCTCCTTGGACAATTTGAGCTTCCTGAGTTGGCGCAGAAAGAACATTCTCTGTTGTGCCTTTTCTGATGACATTTTTGATGTTAGGTGTCCATTTTAGGTCTTGAGATATGATAGAACTTAGAAATTTGAAGGTCTCTACTGATGATACTGTGTTGTCTAGTATTGTAAGAGGTAGAAGTATGGAAGGGTTTCTCCTAAAGTCTACCACCATTTCTACGGCTTTGAGTGTATTCAGTTTCAGATTGTTCCGGTCGCACTACAAGGCTAGTTGTTCAACCTCCTGTCTGTATGCGGATTCATCATTGTCTCGAATGAGACCAATCAGTGTTGTATCATCTGCAAACTTTAGTAGTTTAACAGATGGATCGTTTGAGATGCAGCCATTGGTATATAAAGAGAAGTGGAGAAAGCACACATCCTTGGGGGGGGGCATGTGCTAACTGTACAGGTATCTGATGTGATTTTGCTTAACTTTACCTGCTGCTTCCTGTCTGTTAGGAAGCTTGTGATCCACTTAAAAGTGTGTTCAGGTACCGCTAGCTGTTTTAGTTTAGTTAGAAGAATGTCCAGTATGATGGTATTGAATGCTGAACTAAAGTCTACAAAGAGCACCCTTGTGTAGGTCTTTGGAGATTCAAGATGTTGTAGGATGTAGTGCAGAGCCATATTAACAGCATCATCTGTTGAGCTATTTGCTTGGTATGCAAATTGCAGGAGATCTAACAGCGGATCTGTGATGGTTTTCAAGTGGGACAGCACTAGCCTTTCAAAGGTTTTCATAACTACAAATGTTAGAGCAACTGGTCTGTAGTCATTCAGTTCCTTGATGGAGGGCTTCTTTGGCACTGGGATGATAGTGGAGCATTTGAAGCAAGAAGGATGGCAAGATGGCACATTTCTAGTGATTTATTGAAGATTCAGGTGAAGATGGGGGCCAACTGGTCAGCACAGACTTTTAAGCAAGGAGGAGTTATCTTGTCTGGACCTGGTGCTTTTCCTGGCTTTTGTCTGTGAAATAGATCTTGCACTTCCTTTTCTGTGATCACCAGGGGTTGTGCACCCAATGGGATGGGGTCAGTTGTAGGCGGTTTGACTGTTGTTGGTGTGTCTGAAATGGGGTCAGTTGCAGGAGGCTTGGCTGTTGTTGCTGTGTCTGAGATGGGGGTTGTGAAGATAGGTGGCTGTAGTTTCCTTTCAAACCTGCAGTAAAACACGTTCAGGTCATCTCTCAGTTGTTGATTTCCTTCAGTCTGGGAAGGAAGTTTGCCGTAACCGGTGATATTTTTAAGAGTTTTCCACATGTTTGCTGGTTCATTTGTTGAGAACTGATTTCTTAGCTTTTCGGAGTAGCTTCTTTTTGCTGCTCTGATCTCCTTTATTAATACATTTCTGGCCTGATTGTACAGCATTCTATCACCTTTCCTGTAAGCTTCCTCTTTGGTATGACATAGCTGCTTAAATTGAGCTGTGAACCAAGGTTTATTGTTACTATATATTCGCAAGTTCCTGGTCGGTTCACATAGGTCTTCACAGAAGCTGACATATGATGTTACAGTATCTGTAAGTTCATCTAAGTCTGCAGAGGTATTTTCGAAAACATTCCAATCAGTGCAGTCAAGGCAGGCCTGTAGCTTTAATTTTGCCTACTCAGTCCAGGTCTTCACTGATTTAATTGTTGCTTTCGTGATTTTAAGTCTTTGTACTTTGTAAAGAATCAAAAATGCTTTTATCCATGGACTTAAAAAGATCATAACGGATTCAGTTTATTAAGGTAACTCATTTTCGAGACTACAGATAATCTTCGATTTACAACATATCATTCATTTAGTGACCATTTGAAATTACAACAGCACTGAAAAAAGTGACTTATGACTGTTTTTCACACGACTGTGGCAGCATCCCCACTGTCATGTGATCAAAATTTGGATGCTTAGCAATTGGCTCATATTAATGATAGTTGCAGTGTCCTGGGGTCATGTTATCACCTTTTGTGACCTGACAAGCAAAGTCAATTGGGAAGCCAGATTCATCTTAGATCTATGTTATTAGCTTAACATCTCCAGTGATTCACTTACCAACTGTGGCAAGAAAGGTCGTAAAATGGAGCAAAATTCACTTAACAATTGTCTAATTATTTTACTGTAATTTATCCTTAATTGTATCCCTGCTATTGATTAATAATAATAGATACTGTTTTCCAGACCTAAATTCTGAGTTAAATTCATATTTTGATAACCTGAATACAATTTGATAGATGATAGATAGATAGATAGATAGATAGATAGATAGATAGAAAGACAGAAAGATAGAAAGACAGAATTAGGATTATTGTGGGTGTGGGTGTCTCTATGTATAAAAAATATATAATGCAGGAACAATGATAAAAATGAGAAGAATACAGTAATGTGAGGCTCTTCTTCCTTGTTCATTACTGCATGATTTTGTTTTATTTTGGATTAACTTTTAAACTACAACTCTGAAGAAAACAGCATATCTTCTTCATCCTATCACTTAACAATATTAGCATACCATAACTGATTTTCCTAAACTAATGTAATGCCTAAATTACTTGTACTTCCATTTGCAAAGTGCTGAATTATTTGTTCCCAACAGCTATCTACTTCAAGATAGCAGCACGCCATCCTGAAATTTTAAGACAAATGCAAAATGCATCAGCTTTCTAGAGCAGAAAAGCAATATATTATAACTGTTCTAACACAGTTATACACAGTTTTTCCACACAGAAAAAAACCCTGCTCATATTCCATGACACTATAATCAGAGATATAAAGAAAGAATCAAAACTTGCATTTTAAGAACTGTACTGTTCCATTACAGTAATTAAGAAGAATCAAGAATTAAAAATAATTAAGAAGTTAAGCAAAAAGAAAGCTGGGATAAATTGGAAACAAAATGGTAAATTTCATCAGCAGTAATAGAGCAAAATATTTCATGGCTAAAACTAGATGGATAGCAAATTAAATTCCATATTCCTACACTCTACTTTCACTAGTCAGAAAATGATTAATAATTGAGTACACAACAAAGAAATCTATATTCTACTGTTTAGGCTCTTCATTAGATCACATGGACTCCACACTGTACTATAGGTGACCCAAGTATATAAAACAGACCTTGGCTGTTAACGCTAGAGTTCTATGCTTAAAAAAATCACATACACATTTTTTCCCACCTAAACTCATTTTGGCTACATAGTGAATCAAACAATAAAGCAAAATTCTTTCTCCTAATTTGTCTAGTAAATAATTTACAATGACATTTTATGCCAGCCAGTATGGTAAGAGATATGAGAAAGAATCAAACTGAGAAGGGAGTCAGATTGCTATAAAGTTAAAGAGCTGCAATAATAATAAAGGTTGCCATAATACCAGTAGGATACACAGAGCCATTATATCCTATCAGCATGTCATTTACTTCACACATTGAAAGCACAGCAAGCTCTCAATTCTCAATGATTTTTCTTTCAAAAGCACAATTTTTCCCTGGCTGCCTTTGTGGAGGTTCTTCATAGCTTTCAGATACTGCCCAATGCGTAGACCTTAAAAGTTGCCATGGTATCAATTTTACATGTGCTATGTCATCATTATTCAATACAGTATGTCATAACAATCCATTTCCGGAAACATCAACTATATAGAATTAAAATCTAAAACTATGGATCTTCAATCTATTTTTCAACCATGTAATCTGACATTTTCCTGGTTACTAGCATAGGTTCCTTAGGGAAACTAGGTATATCAGCATCTTCCAAAAGAAAACAAGAATCTTGTGAGACATCTCTACAGAAAGTTTATATAATAAACATATTAATTATTAATCCTCTAAAATTTCTATAAATACTGAAAGCCACTACAAGAGCCAGAAATCACGGTTTATTAGTTTTATAAAATTGACTACAGTAGATAGACTCAATACCAACTCCCAATCACTTTCCTGATAGTTATGAAAATCAAGAAATTTTTGGTTTCTTTTTTTTGGAAGAAAAAAAAAGTCAAGTCTAACAGC